TATATGTGCTCGTTTTAAATTTTATTTATAATAGAAACAAAAACTTAATAAGACAACTAAAATTAATATTAATTAAGAATTTAATAATTACTGGATAAATCTAATTATAATTAAAAACAATGAATATAATATAAAGTAAAGTTAAAATATAAACGAGAAAAATTACAGTACAGTACATTCATACAGTGAAAGTTTTAGCGCGTTCTTGTATTTTAAGTTATTAATGATAAATAAATCCCACATTAAAATAACAAATTACACAGATAATGAGTTAAAAAATAATTCTAGAAATATGAATTAGCAGTGACAGTCTATAAATTTCAATGGATATAATAATTAGAAGAGTTTAACAGTAATATATAAAATATGGTCACAAAAAAAAGGTAATCAAAATTAATAAATAAAAGAAGAAAATGTTTCATTATTGTTTTAGCAATAAAGTATAGTAAAAATATAGGTTTAAATCGATTCATTGTTTTATATAATTGTTCATAAATGCAAAAATTAAAATGAGCAATAAGAAACTAAAAAATATGTATCTACTAACTAATCATGTTCAATGAATTAACCCACCATACATTACATCATTTTTAAAATAAATTTAACGCTTATCCATAACTAACTAATAGACTTTGTATATTGATATTTAAATGAAAATTTGCCAAAAATTACCGTTTTTAATATATTTTACTTTTGATTAACCAAATAAAATTTTTGTTTTTTTTTTCATTTCAGTCTTATTAATATATTTAAAATTTTTGCAGTCATAAAAATTAGAGTAATTTTTTAATAACTATAACTATAAATAAATCATTTGAAATCTAGCTGATTTTACTCATTTCAATAAGAGTAAAAAAAATATTATTTAATACTAACAAATATTCGTAAAATCGTAAAATAATATTATTATTGAAAATGTCTAAATCTTCTTAATGAAATTATATTAAGGCCAGGCTAATTATCATTTAATAATTTCAGTGTAACTGATAACATTTATGTTTCAACGATTGATCTTTGATAAAGTTTTTTTATTCCAAATGAATTGAAATATGTATAAAACAAAAATATTAAAATATTTTTTGTGTACCAATTACTGCACTATGAGTAATTAATAGTTAATAAATTAATTAATAATTAATAACTTGGTTAAATTTTTTCATCTGATAAATCGAGTGATAACACATATAATATTTGGTTTCATTCTTGTATATTTATAAATATATATTTATTAATAGTTGTTTCATGAATTTTTTTCAATTTAAATTTTTTAAATCTATTATTATGAATAATTTCATTTAAATTTAAATACATAGAATTATTTGTATCTACTTTATATTTGTCTATTCATATTCATATTCGTGGCAAGCATTCTTCAATCATAATTCTTGAAATAATGATTTGATTATTATATTATTAATACTATGTCTAAAAGTTAAATTATTTATTATTTTTAAATACATAAATAATGTTGACGAATTTTAATATATTATCTCCATATTTATTTTATATGTATGTACCCTCTGTTTTTGTGTGCATTTTTAAACATTTCAATATAAAATTTTGTATTTTATATATATATATATATATATATATATATATATATTATTGTGATTGTATTTCATTGATTTAAAAATTCAATGTACTAGTAACTATATTTCCTAACTTTTATTTTGTTTCAAAATTTTATTATTAACAATAGAGAAATAAAACAAAATTAAAACTTGTATCTTACAAATAATTACAATATTTATTAATTAAAATATTACTTCATTACAATTATATACGTGACTATGTAGTTTTATATGCCAATATTTTGATATTAACGTTTTTATACCTATAAATTCAAAATATTGTATATATAATACTTTTTATCCAAAAATAAATATTATTTCATAATGAAAAATAATCTTTAATATAGATTTCATTAAAAATAAAAGAACAAATATTATTTAGTATATTTCAATATTATTTCTAAACAATTAAGAATATTTACTTAATTGTTCTTACACGCATTAATTTAAGTTATAATTAAAAAAAAACATATTTAAATAAATTATTGTTAATAATAATAATTGGACATTAATCTATGATAATCTCATTAGATTTATTCTATATATGTACATATAACATTATTTATATTTTCATTCATAAGCTAATGATTTATTGAATGAATCATTTAAAAACACGTATTCTTTCAAATAATTAAAAATAATATTAACATAAAAATATTATCTATATCAATATTTTAAATAAATTGAAATTAATTATTTTCAAAATTCAAATAAAAATAAGGCCAATTCTAAGAACAATTGGTACAAATGCTTTTTACTAAATGCTATCTGTGATAAAATAAACTTTTTATATAAATTACTACTATTTCACTTAATATATTTTTTTACATTTTTCATAATTAAAATTTGTTGATAAAATTATTACAAAAAATTACATGACTTCAATTATATCTAATTATTAAATTTTCATGATTTATTACAATGAAAATAAGATATATTAGTAATTTATTATGATATTGCTTTAAAATCAAATATTTTTAAATCACATGTTAACATAATATTATTGTTCGTTCTTTTCCTACTTTTGCTTAAAATATATTGCAAACTTCATGAAAATTTAACCTTATAATGATAATAAAAATAAAATTTAAACAATTTTAATATTGGATTTTATAACTATTCCAATTAAAATCACTTATTTGAAATAAGGCTATTACAGTGTATATGGATATTAATGAAAATCTGGCGTAAAATAATTTAACTTTATGTTCAATTTTTGTTAAAAAATAATATTATGATAATATAAATCTACACAATTGCAAACGTAAAGAACACGCGTAATTTTGATCACGTCCTGCTTGCGAATTGAATCTACACATTGAAGGTGATGATAAGAAAGGAGTCATGTGAATATATTTGACTTGCCTCACTCAATACGGTGCTTCAAGCCCCAAGTCCTTTATTCATATAAGTATAAATTCAAATAAGTACTTACGTGCTTGATTTTTATATATTTTGAAGTAAATGATCCATCTAATTTAGAAAAACATGCTCATACATTCCACCGCTTGTACAAATTCAGTGTACGTACATTTGTAAATAGATTTACATGTGACTTATAGATTCAAGTATAAAACTTACAAAATATGACACATTAAAGTCAATGCTGAAAATCAAAAAATAATTTAACCTTTATCATATAATGAATGGATTTACTGATTTATAATAAACAGCACAATTACATTGACCAAATTCATGGTAGAAACGACATTACATCGTCTTAACATTGTAGTACGTTCAGTACATTGAAAAACTCTTGGAATGATAACAAAAGGTATTGGTCCTCATTATCGTTACGTTTAGAAATGCAAAATATCTAAACACCAACTACAATATATTGTGGTATCGAATATTATGAATAAAATTTAGAATTAAAGATGTTAAAAATTACATTATAAAAACCGAATTTATTTTAACAATTTATGAAAGAAACAATTCAGGGGCATTTTATTAATTTTTTAATCAATACATGAAATGAATTAAAAATTCTAGAAATTATCAATTTATATGTATCTGCATATTCATGCACAATACATAAAGGAACAGTAAAGTTATACAATATTTTTAAATGTTACTTGAACCCCAAAATAATGTTAATAATCAAATAGTACTTACAATTATAAAAATGTAAAATGCTCATAATTACGTTTTTAATGCTAACTTTAAATTGTTCATATGTGTAAAAATCATTTCTTTTTCATATTATTTTCAATTATAATTGAAAAATTTAATTTGAATTGTATAATAAATAAATAAATTTAGCATTATATTATTTGTGCTGTAACTAAATCTGAACTGTCTTATTTCTAACTGTAAATCTGAAACTACAATTATTTTCATTCGTCTTAAACCTTGAGTACTGAAAATTAATTAAGAAGAGGTTATTCTGAATCAGAAAAATTAAAAAAATTGCATTTAAAAAAAGTTAAAATAAAAAATACAAATTAAGTAATAAAAATGAGTAACATCATAAATTGTAAAAAAATATTTATTAAAAGTGCATAAGAACAAAAGCAGATTTTACTTTAAAGGATTTCTTTAAAATATTTTTTCTGCATATGACAAAATAACTTTAATGCAGTATAATATTGTGTATTCAGTTTATGAATCCTTAAAGTAATCTTTTGAACCAATTGGATCAGGTTTCATTGTTTTCTTTCCCGGTTTCCAGCCAGCTGGGCAAACTTCACCATGTTCATCAGTAAATTTGAATGCTTGTATTAATCTTAGAGTTTCATCAACATCTCTAAAAAATTATTAAGAATTAACATTATAAAATATAATTTCTTTTGAAATAATTTAAAGCAAATAACTTTTCTGTAAAATAATGTTATAAGAATTGATGAAAACATTTTTAAAAAATTATAAAGAAAAAAATTAAAAAACATAATAGAATAAAATTAACATATTAATTAACATTTGTACCGCTCTGAGATGAGTTAAAAATGTTATCAAAATTAATTTCATAAAAAAAAATTTTTTAAATGAACAAAAAAATCTTTATTCCAGATTGATTTGAACTACCCACATATCTCTTTAGACCATAATATTGGTAGCTGTATAAAAAATTAATAAAAAAAAATGAACAGTTAAATGTTTTCGAACACTTCTAATATTTACATTTTCATTAGTAAAAACAGGGAAATAAAATTTTATTTGAATAATTTATGAATGAACATTTCATGTGAATAACTTGTTTTTCAGATTTTTAATTAATTATATTGAAATGATTTTAATATTTATGTTCAAGGATCAATAAATTTCATTTACGTCATTTATTCAACATTAACTTGTAAAAATATAAATATGTATATTCAATTTGGATATGTAAAATTAAAGTGTAACATTTGATAAATAATATAAGTAAATTAAAGCCATATACCTCCCTACAGGAAGATCATTTATTGTTACTTGACGCAGGTTTTGTTTATCATCGATAATAAAAAGACCACGGAAAGGGATACCACTATCCTCATCAAGAACTCCATAATCGCGGGCAATTTTTCCACTTTTATCAGCAAGAAGAGGAATATTCATTTCACCTAAACCACCTTGTTTACGAGGTGTATTAATCCATGCTAAATGGCTATAATGGGAGTCAGTAGATGCAGCAATTATTTGTACTCCAAGAGCTTGAAATTCTTTAATACGGTCTGAAAAAGCAATGATCTCTGTTGGACAGACAAATGTGCTAAAACAAATAAATATTGTTTATTTTTTTATTTTATATAGTAAAAAATAATAGATATATATATATATATATATATATGTATACATATTTTATACATATACAAGGACAATAAAATAAATAATTTTAATTACTCTATAAATTTAAAAATTTTAAATATATAAATTGTTTATTTATTTTCTTAAAATTTATATTATAATACAATTATATAATCATTAAAAATTATATTTCTATTGTTGTATATACATATATTATAATAAATGTGTATTAATGCTTTGGTATAACTTTTGTATAACTAAGAAACTATAATTTTTTAACATTTTAAAACATATAATAAAAGTATAATAAACTTACAAATCAAGAGGATAGAAGAAAATGACAACATATTTGCCTTTATAATCAGAAAGTGAAATTTCTTTAAATTGGCCATTAATAACAGCAGTTCCTTTGAATGCTGGTGCTGGCTTCTGCAATGCTGGAACTGGCATTTTTATTTATTTCTGAAATAATTTAAAAATATAGTATATACTACAATATAAGAATATATGAATTATGGTAATAATAAATATATATTTAAAATATTTAATTATTTTTATTTACATGTAAATATTGTTTTAAAACATTAATACTGTTAAATTATAAATTTACGTAAGATTTTTTTAGGATTAAAAATTTTAATTTTCATACTACTAAATTTATACTAAATAATAAATTTCTATATATGAAATTTCAAAAACATAACAAATTTTTTTTTTATACAAAAATTAATTAAAAATTTAACAAACAAAAAATATATAGTAGTTAAGTGATAAGCTTTAAAAACAAAGATACATGACCATTATCAATTCATAGAATAATCTAGAATCGTATAGTTTTGCAATCGAATTACCGTTTCGAACATTAAAATGACGTCATCCAATATTATGAAATAATATAGAAATTATGTTAATTACAAAAAAAGCTACTTTTACAATAGACAATTTTACATATACAAAATATATATGATTTTATCTTCTTTAATGAAACTAAAAACGTATTAAATTATAAAAGATCGGTCAAATTTGGCTACGTCTTAACAATGAATATATCCCAAGAGTTTCTTTAAGTATCTTTTTTAAGATTATAGAGTGTAGAAATTACAATATAAGAAATTTAAATTAATTATTATACTTACAAAATGTAAAATCTTTATAAAGCTAATGTCTAACTTTTATAACTTGTTCACGTGAATTACGTCTTAAAGTTACAATACTAGTCGTTGAACCCACTCTACAATCCGTACTTCGAACTGTATCCACACTACAAAATTGATGAAAATCAGAAAGAGAAAGGAGTAAATGTTCGCAATATCCTACCGGTGTTCCTACACAATTGATTCTTTTATACACATATAAGTTCTTTTTACTTTTGTATTATGACCAATTAATTTGAAGCAATACTGCGCGAATTCTAAGTGTTTAAAATAAACTGAAATTAGTATAACATTTAATATCATTTCATACATGCCTTGCTCAATTAAGATAAATAAAAATAAGATATTTTATTTTATAAATTTAAAAAATTTTATTGTAATATTAACTTTTTATTTTGGATGAAAACAATTTTATTTAGTTATTATTATAATTATTAAATATTTAATAGTTTTGTAAAGTAAAATTTTTCAGATTAAGAATCTTAATTAATAGATTAATATTTTTCAATAAATCCCAATACTTTTCAGTATTAAAATTAAGTATCTAATTTTTTTAATATTTTGATCTTTTCAAGCTCTGCACGTTCAATCTTATCTTATAAAATAATTTTGTGCAAATTATTGTTTGTTCAATTTTAGAAATGAAAGTAATATGATATAATAAGTTAAATAATATTAAAATATCTATTATTTTTTCTAAGTTTGTGTAATTGTTTACTTTTAAAATAATCTTATACCACACGTTTCATATTGTATAAGCATACCATTTTTGAAGTTATATAAATTATTTTATTTGCAAAATCATAAAGCATTTATTCTTAATATTCATAATTAAATTACATTTGTTTATGTACTTTTGTATGCACTTAAAAAATCATAATTTAGAGACATAAATTCACAATATTACAATTTATATAAAAAAATTTTTTATTATACATTAAAATTAAATAGCTTTATATAAAACAAAACTAATATAATTTTTAATCTGCATAGATTTATTTTAAGTGTGCAGATGCTTTTATACTTTCTCATATTGAACGTAATTTTTATTTAAAATTCTAGTTTTAAGTATCATATGCAAATTAAAGTACTTTATAACTATTGTATAAAATACAATTTTAATTAATTAAATGTTAGACCTCCTAAAATTTTAAGCTCTGAAAAAAATATTATTTATCACGAATAGTTTATTGCGTATTTTTTTTTAATCAAATTTATAAAAAAAAAACTTTTAATTGTCATATACCAGTAATAGAAAAATAATATTTCTTACAAAATTTTTTCATTATTGCCTTGTAATATGAAATATTCTACTTAAAATTTATAAGAATCGAAATATTAATATGTAAGTAAAATATATTAAAAAAATAATATGTAAACAAAAATTAAAATAATAATTTTTTTAGATATGATTAGATTAGATTTAGATTAGATATGATTTAAAACAATTCGAATTCAATATAAAAGAAAAATTTGGAACTTTGTTAAGTTCATTGTTATATAAATAATAATATAAGTCAATAAATATCTATTCTATTATAATATAATCTGTGTTAATAAATTTATATACGTTTTTATATTATATTTATATACTTTTCAAATATATAAATAAAATATAAATTACTCTATAAAGTTTTAATAATTTAATAATTTAATAATTAATTTAAATTTAATAATTAAGTATATGAGTAAAAGAACATCTGTCTAACTGAAAATGTAAGAAGTAAAATATTTAAATAGTTTGCCAATCATGTTATCTTTCTTCTGAACAATCTTAATATTATCATTATTAACATTAAAATTAGTCATTCTTTTATTTCATAAGCTTGTGCTCTTACAATTTCCATTAGATTTGAGATATTACAGTATTAATAAATATTGACACATTTAATTTTTAACAATTATAAAATATTTATAATTTTTGAATATTTAAAAAGTAATGGCAGATTTTTAGTACAGACATTGGTCATATGCATTTATAATTGAAACTATAAATTCTGTACAATTGTTTTTACAATAAATTCTTTAAAATAATTGTAACATTAAACTGTATTCTTCAACTGAATTGTATTTCAATAAAACTGTAATTATTTCTGAATTTCTAACATGGCTAAATAAAAGTAAATAAATTATAAATTTAGCATTTTTGTATTTTATTTTATATTTTATATATTATATTTTAACATATTTAAAAAATAACAGTTTAAATATAAATTTATAGTAATTTTAATCATACATGATCTTGCTAATCTGAATAAAATTCATAAATAACTACTAGTTTCAATTGCTTATTAAAATTATAATTATTAGATTTGATGGTATACAATTATGAGCAAGGTTGTATTGCACGAAGAGTATTGACTGAAGATAAATAATTTGTTAAATAATTATTTCTCATTTTTTGTCTTATAAATTATTTATTATTCTTATAATAATCATAATAAAACCTAATAGTCTATAATTCCATTTGGTATAAAATACCTTAAATTAAAAGTTAAGTCTTTCTAAATTAAGGCTTCCAAAGTTTTACAAGACCATCTTCGCTATATGAGCATAATAAATTTTGATGAGGATGATGTGCGAGTCCAATAACATCTTTTTCATGAATCTGAAAATAAATTGAAAATTTATATAGAAATAGATATTTTAATAATCTGAAATTTAATAATAACAATAAATATTTTGTATAAAAATAAATATTAATATTTTTACATTTAACGTTCTTTCTAGTTTTCCAGATGTTGTAGAGAAACAATAAAGTACAAAATCTTCACCAACACAATAAATATATTCTCCTTTGGGAGACACAACTGCACAAACAAAATCACCACCTTCTCGTTTACCACTTGAAAAAGATCTAACTATTTGTCCTTGCATATTCATTATAACAACACTATTAGAGCGATTACAAACTACAAAGTGTTCAGGATTTTTTGGTAATGCATGTATACTATTTACAGTTAGATCTGCAGCTCCTAATGATTTGTATGTTCCAGTGCATTCTGTAGTCTTTAAACTCCAAACTTTCACTGTTCCATCCGAAGATGCACTGAAATAAAATTGCAAATAATTTGTTGTAGAAACAATTGATATTAACCATCACATTTTGAAAAATTAAATTACACGTAATATAGTACAGATTCGATACTACAATATTTTTAAATAATGGTCATATAGAAACTGTGATTAGGTTAGTCATTAAATATATATCCATATTAATTGTAACCTGAACAAAATACTGACATAAAAGTGAAAATAAAACATAGAATACAAAAATATAGTATAGCTAAAGTGCTGTATTAAATCTTTATATAGTGTAACTAAATTCAAATTATAATTTCATTTACAGTAAACTATATAATTATAATTATATTTAACAATTACATTAATTATTAAAATTTCGTTCATTTATTTACATTTTATCAGTATTTCATCACTATTCAGAATTAACCAATTTTTAAATCTGTACTTAAAAAAATTCAATATCACCTAATTAATACTAACTTTTTTGAAAATGAAAAATTATATTGCTATATATCCATAAATTAGATTAAACAAACCTAATAATATTATGAGAATCAGAAGAAAATATAACTTCATTAACATATGAAGAATGTCCTCTAAATTCCTTTAATGTTTTTCCAGATTTTAATCCATGAATTCTGAAAATATTATCGATTAAAAATTTTGAAAATAAATATTCCTAAATTCTTTTAAAGTTATTTATTACAAATAACTATAAAAATATTATATAAACAATTAATATTCACCTAATTGTAGCATCAAAAGATGCTGAAAGTACTTGTCCATTGTCTCTACTAAATTGTAAACAAGTAACACCTTTCATATGGGCTTTTTCAAATTTTCTTAAACACTGACCATTTTGCACTTTCCAAATTTTTATTTTTCCATCTTGTGCACCACCAGCTAACATTTCACTGTCACGACTAAAAGCCATTGATAAAACAGCTTGTTCCATCATCATAAAATTATCTTGGGCTTGGTACTTCAAATCTTTTCTAATTTTACCTGTAGTAAAATTCCACACTTCAATGAAACCATCAACAGATCCTGTGACTAAATATTGACCATCTGGAGAAAAACGGGCACACTCAACATGTGATTTTGTTCCAAATTTGATTTGTTTTGATAATTGTGTCGGATATTTTTCATCCTCTTGATCACGAACAGCAGCTTTACCTCGAAACAAATCAATAGTTGTACCAGGTGGTAAAAGTCCTTGATGTTGCTGCCACTTTAAAGCTTGTCCTAATAATGCTAGTAATCTACTAGATGGTACTACTGAAACTTCTCCTGATAAAGATGTTGCTATATATGCTCTTCTTTTCTCTTTTGTACTTCCATCTGGATATGCTTCTCTAGGATCAAAATATGAACGGGCAAGAAGATTTTCTGCAAAACAAACATTCAGATTTATTGAATGTTATGATAAACTTTTTAAATTTATCATTTACATTTAAAAGACTATTTATTGATTATAAAAATATTTTAATAATTTTAAATATTATGAATACCTAAGTGAATATATCTTTCGGGTTCTTGTTGTTTCATCATTACCATTGGTTCAGTCTGTCTTAATAAACTTCTAGCAGCTCCAAGTTCTCTTAATTCAATTAATTCCAAGACTACCTTTGTAATAAATAAAAAATAAATGTTTAATAATTAATTAGTTTTATTAAGAAATAACTAATATAATATACTTATTCTTTATACCTGTTCATACAAATCAATTAATTTTTTATCTGGCAATTTAAGAGATTGAATGGCTTTAAGTACTGTATCCCAGTGTCCATTATTTATATCAGCTACAAATCCATCTACACTATCAACTGTATTTAAAGAAACACCTGTTTCTTCCTAAAATTTAATTACTTATTTAAACAAATATTTTTATTTAAAATCATTTAAAAATTTTTATCTAAAATTCAAAAAACGTATTACCTGTAATGTTTGCAATGTTTTAACAAGATTTGATTCCTTTAAGTATTGTTGAATTAGACGAATAACACTGTAATCAAACCATTATATCTTAATATTTCATAAATAATATTTATTATTAATGTTTAAGCATTTAAAAAAGAACATTAGGATAAATAAAAGTAAATATAATTTATTTTTTATATAATAAATAATGCTTTTTAAATAATTCTAATTATAATCTAAAGAACATTATGTTAGATAAATTACTGGATTTTTTAAAATAATAATTAATAAATAAATGTAAATTAATAATATTATAAAAAAAAATTAATTTAAATACACCGAAATTATCACTAAATAAAAATTGTAATTCAGAATAGATTATAATACAATATTCATTAATTATTATATTATAAATTAACCATGATATTAAGTATTAATATTATAAAAAAATTATAAGATAATTACTCTGCAGATTCTATTTCAATAGACATAATTTAAAAATAATTATTATAATATTGAAGATAATGTCATACACATTGAAATTGAATCTAGATGAATTAGATTTTACACCAGAGAGATAATTAATAGGGAGTTTGTTGACATAATATTCAAATAAAGAATTCTGCGAACCTAGCGGAAATTATATAAACTAATTTGACCGAATGCAAGTGAAACAAGAAAGGTAGATAATTTTTTATTAATAATACATAGTCTTATAATTTTTTATTAATAATAAATAAGAATACGTCAATAGTGTCATGTTTATTCTCGAAATATTTTTAATTATATCAAATTGTTTACGATAAAATATTGCAATGAAAATTTAGTTGAATTTATACATAGAAATAGGTGAATAAACGAATAAATATTTTTAAATTATTATAGTTTCAATATCATTTTAATGTGTCTAAAATGTTTCTTAAAAATATCAATTGAAATATAAAACTAAACGTAATTTTTTTATAAAAATTTTATTGAAAATGAATAATTTGAAATTCAATATTGCCTATAAATAAACAAAATATTTTTTTGTAACAGTGATACGATATAAAGTAAGTTATAATAGGATTTTAGAATATTTTCTTTATCATAAATATAATATTTTAAGTTTCTTAAACAAATTATAGAATTTAAAAGTATATAATAATTTTTATTTATAAAATAAATTTTAATTTCTATTTGCTTTTGCATAATTTATTTATTATAAAATCTAAAATAAAATTATTTCTATAACATAGATTAAATTAGAAAAAATAAATAATTAATTTTATATTATTTATGTAAATGTTTTGAAATTTAATACATGTTAATATAAATAGTTATTTTTTGTATTATTTTGCAACTGTAATAATTATTAATAAGTATGAAGGTATTTTAGAAGCAAACTATTATATTACTCTATAATAATCATTTAACAGAATTATAATTATGCAATAAAAATTATTCAATACTTATGAAAATAATAATTATTTAAATTTAGAAATAGTTAAAATTTATATAAGATTAAAGAGAATCAAATATTTTCAAAGTTAAAGGTGTAAAGCATTTGCTATGAATATGAAAACAAATATTAATTACTATAAATGCATAGATTGTTTTACAATTAGTTTTTTATTTTTAAATTATAAGATAGAATGGGCTTTTGTTGTAAAAGAAAACTTTCAAATGCTAAATTTTAAAATATATTAGATAAACAATAATTAATTAATAGTGCACATACAAATTTAATAAATTTGAAATTTCTAAAAAATTAATTCCATCTATAATAATACATGACCAAATAAAAATGTTTAATAGTTTGAATTGTACTAAAATCTTTAAAATACTCTTTAATTTCGACAAAGTTTAATAGTGCATTCTTAATAGGATTTTTATTATCTTAGAATATTAATCACTTGCTTAATAATTAATAGTAGATACTTGTCTCTTATAAAAAATTACGAAAAAAAAGAAAATTGAAATACTTGTACATATTTTAAATTATCTCTATATATTTTTCATAGTACCTACTGTACATACTCCGTAATATGCACAGCACAGTTGTGCAAGTTTTGGCATCAGGTATTAATATCGTTAACAAGACCATTTTTAATGATATTCTAATAGTCTTGAAATTCTGAAGGTTCTATTTGGTTTATTTTTTGCAGTTCATCATAAAAATAATAATGCATATTATTTAAATTTTGTTAATTCCTTAGTAGCTATAACTTTTATTTTTCAATTATTCTATATATCTGAATTTAATACAGAAATAATTAAAAATCTTATAAATAAGAAGTATATTAAATAATATAATTATTTTGTTATTTTAAACAATAGAACTTGAACATTTGTTATATATTTATTCATATTGATAGATAAAATTGTGAATGTTATCCTGATCGTTTTTCAGAAATTGACGTTTTAAAGTTATGGATTACAAAGATAGAAATAAATTAACATTTTCTGTTGTCATATACATTGATTTGAGTAAAAGAAAGCTATTACGAATCATTTATCATTTTTTACGATATCACCCAGAAAAATAAGATATTTTCTTGTTACATATATCTATATCTTAGAATTTTTATCTAGCTAATGTGAGAAAATAATATTTCAAGAATATAAGGTAATTAATTTGGAATTATGCAACTTAACGATCTGTCCTAACACTAGAATAATACGCATAGAAGAAAGCTTTCCGATCTTCCTTTGTCACAAATGCAGTCCCAGTAGCTCTTACTAATATTTCATAATAATTAGTGAAGTTATAAATAAGCGATACGACTTTTCTTTCGTATCATTAGTAACGAAATAAATAGTAAGTGAAATGTTTTTATTTGTAACTGAAATCGATCTTGCTATACAGTGGCTACGAAACGATTGAGCTACTTTTTTGCTCCAATAATAATTTGAAAAATCCGTTTGAATCATCTGGAAATTAATTTTTGAGTTATATTAAGCTGATAAATGTCGATTTGAACTCATTTGAAGCTGTAATTAATTTTAATTATAAGTAATGGTACAAATTATATGTGGTGTTCTATCATCGCAAACTCAATCATGATGATAAAATAATAACTGTTAATGGAAAAATTAATATTAAATTAAAATACTAGCTTTTAAAATAGATTTAAAGTATTAAAGTATTAAACACATCAAATATTTAACATAGTATTAAAAATAGAATACTAAATACTAAATAGTTTATACTATACTGTTTCTATAATACAAGGGTATTTGAAAAATAATGAGGAGAAAATACCGGATATAAAGCAATACAATATCAGCCAATCACAACGCTCCAAACTTAATCTCAATTTAGAAGGTTGTAACTTGTAAATTTTGATTTATTTTTTTATTATTACTCGAATATGTAATTGTTAGAAGTTTTATAATTAGAATATAAAAACTTAATTCGAGGCAATTCATAATACATAAATATTGAATAGAATAATTGTATATAACAATATTATATTATTGTATATAGATATTATTATAATAGATATATAATTGTTCTATAAATATTTCTTTAGGTTTCTTAATTCTTTTAGTGAAAATCTAATTTTTAAGTCACAATGTCTCATAGATATATAATATGGATTATATATAAATACATTTATATATAAATTAGATTTATAGATAAATTCTAGTCATAATATTACATATCTTACTATATTCCGTAATATATTTTATATTTTTTATATTGTATAAAAATAATAATTAATTCCATAGGAATTATATAATACACATTATACATTTATATAATAACAATTTAAAACAATAAATTTCATTTAAACTTTAAAAGCATAAATTCATTTTAATTTATATGAATTTTTATGAAGTTATATGAATTTTGAAAATTGTTCAATATATATTAATTAGATTGTAATAATTAATAGAAATAAGTTACTAAGTAAAAATGGATATCAACTATGGCATAATGACAAGAAATATGCAAATTTAATGCTTTCCTTTTCCACTTGGAGTCGCTTCTATCTTCTCTATATAATCTTATGGACGCGCTGTAATGTATGACATTAAATTCAATTTTAGTTACTTGTATTTTGTTGTGATATATGACTTTTAAATCTAAATAATGCTATATTTTAAATAAAATAAAATAATAAACTTATTATTCGCGATAAAATCATTACTAAAAATAACATATATTGTATGTATCTTAATGTTAACTATAGTAAAGCACATTTTTATTTTTTTTATAAGGATTCGTAAATTATAAATAAAGCTTAATGAATCTAAATAAATTCAGGGTATATCGTGAGACAATATTATAAATTTGTCTATAATATATAATCATATTTAAGACTACATATAGTATTTAATTACATATCAAGTCATTTCATTATGATAAAATAATAAAAATTCATAGAAATAAAATTAAAAAAACCATTGTTCGATATTGTGGTGTGTACATAGGTGTTTTCCCAATACTATATACGGATACAGTCTGAATAGACTTCTGTAGAAAATTTATTAATTTTATTAAGAAATAATTTAACGTTCTATATATATGCATATATATATATACATAATATTCGATTGCCAAATATAAAAAATATAATTTCTTTAAAATTTATTAATAGTGCATAAACAATAGAGCATCGGTAGAAGGTAGTACTCGATAAAAACTTAAATTTTTAATCAAGTTCAAAATTCAAATTATTATAAGGCATCAATTCAGTACAAACTACGCATACTACGATAATCAGCTGATCCCAATAGAAGCAGGCAGTTCAACCCCATTTCCATTTTCTTTTTCTTTACAGCTTCTGAAAGAAAACGCTATATTTTAATTATTATTGAAATACTATTTTATTTCACTAGTTACTAAAATAAATAAGTGTAGATTACAAAAAACAGGCAAAAAGAAAGGAAAAAAGAAATAAAAAAATACAGTGTAAAGTGTCGTAATATAAATTTTAAAAAGAAATTTTGTTTAAATAAAAAAAGAAAGGAGAAAAAATAATAGTCATGTAAAAAATAGTAATAATGGAGAATCAAAAATAAAAAAATTTCAGAGGAAATGAAGAGAGAGTTCGAGAAAAAAGGTTTGCTGTAAAAAAAGACAACTCTAGCCTCTCTGATGTATACACATGACAAATAAAAGAGCGAGTTTTTAATGTTAAATGGGAGACAGGAGTATTAGGAAGGAAGTAGCGACGATTTTGACGGCAGGTCGCTGGCGATCGTGCTGCCGTCGTTGTGGTAGAAAAAAAAGGAAACTGGATAATCATCAGGACGATCATCACCAAAGTGACAGTAAGGCAGAAAGTAGGATGTCCAGATCTAGCTTTAATAACCATCTCTGCAATCCACTAGGGTACATTTTGAATAGACAGATTAATGACAGGATTAATTATTGCAAAGACCTTGTAGATACCAGGTTCTCTAGTGCACAAAATTTATTTAGAAAAGATCTTTATTCACATTATGGATGCATTAATGCTATCGAGTTTTCCAAAGAGGGAGATTTACTTGTTTCTGGTAAGTTTATATTTATAAATTTATGTACTAAGATCCATAATTAAAATTCTAGAATTTTTGTGAACAAATTGTTATTATAAATTATGTAATAGCAAATGATATTTTAATTCAAAATTATAATGTTATATTTCAGATTAATTGATTTTTATTTTTTTATATCTATATGCAGTGTTAGTTTGGTGAATAATTTGTATATATTCTTTATTTCAATATAGTTTAATAAAATATTATAAATAATACTATTAATAAATTTAATATTTACAAAATTGTATCAATTTAAAATATTTAATGATAGATAAATTAATATAATAGCATTTCATGGTGTGTCTTAGACTATTAATTTTATACTGTATAAGAAATGAATTAATTTTTATGATTTTATCAATAAAAATTTTAATAAATCAAGGAAAAATCATTTTTAAGTCATCTTCACTCTAAAATTTCATTTAATATTATAATAAAATAAATTTTATTTAAGATTTTTGATATGTTAAACTATTTTGTAATATTTTATTTTTTTAATTTTATTCATTATTTAGATTTAAGTTTTAATTCATGATTTGTCAATAAACTTAGATTCCTTGAATAAATGTTATAAATTGATTTAGGTAATTATAAATTGAAACTGTACCATTATTTTAAATAAAAGTTATAATTTTATTAAATATCAATGTTTATAAAGATATAATATTATTCTTTTTGAGTTATAAATATTAAATTGGATAATCATCATATGTAAATACACATATACATATGCACATACATAATTATATGTATTTTGTATATGTATTTTTAATTATTTTTGATAAATTAATAGATTTTTTAAATAACCAAATGATAGATGTCAAATATATTTAATTAAAAAATCAACTTAAAAATGTATAAACATATATCTTTAATATTTAAGGCTTTAACAAGAATTAGAATTATTATTTATAGTATAGACTATTTTTGATTGATTAAATAAAATTACAGGTGATCTTGTGCATTAATGCAAATTAAATGAATATTGAAGTAAAGAAATATTTAATATAGATATTTCTTTCATTTCTTGCTTCAGTTGCTAGATTTTTATAAAAATTAATATGTATGTTTTTGCATAAATTGTCAAATTAGTAATTATAACCATAACTAATTATTATGTTATCTAATCATATCTAGTAGAAAATAAAATATTAAATATAGAATAATGACTCATGCTAACAATGGTTTAAAATATTACCAAATATAATAGTATAATGTCTAGCCCAAATATTATAAATATTTTTAATTTATGTAACATAAAAACTTATTGATACATATAAAGATGATTTCTTATTATTATTTAAATATTAACAAAAGTGAGTCGAAATTAATTGTATTAAAAACACTGTATCAACTAATTATAAACTTAAAACTAATATATTTCGTGTTTTTTTTTTTAATATTATATAAATATATATATTTATATATTCATAGGTGGAGATGATAAAAGGGTTCTTTTATGGAATGTAGAAAAAGCTATTCAAGAACATGGGAAACCTGTAGTAATGAAGGCTCAACATATGAGCAATATATTTTGCCTTGGCTATAATAGTAGCAAATCCAGAATATTTTCTGCAGGAAACGATGATCAAGTTATTGTTCATGATTTACAAACGTAAGTAAATATTTTTAAGTACATATTAAATGATTGTTTCGCAACAATGTAAAATGCAAATTTTTTATAAAGCTATAAATTTAATTTTGTTTATAATTAACATACATTTAAGTTACATTTATATATTATGTTCAAACAATAAATAACTTATTACATATTTATAATTCACAAATATTTTCATTTCATAAATTTCATCTATTTTGTATTTTATTTATATAATGTTATATATATTGTATTTTTTAATATAATATAAAAATATTAAATATATAAATATTAAATATTATATATAATATATATATTAATTCTTAATTAATTTAAAGTTATTAAAATTAAAGAAATTACAATCATATTTAAATTTATCTAATTTTATTTTATTTTGAAATTAAATTTATTATTTATAGAACTGACGTTTTAAACTTCTTTCGACATGAGAAACCAGTGTATGGTTTATCAGTTCATCCATATAATGACAATATATTTTCAAGCGCTTGTGATGATGGAAGAGTTCTTATTTATGATATTAGAGGGTCTGCTAGTTCTGCTGAATCTTTTTTTTGTTTGGCTCAACATAAAAATTCTTTCCACTCTGTAATGTTCAATCCTGCTGATCCAGTAATGTTAGTCACTGCTAATGCAAAAGAAGGAGTTAGTATGTGGGATATACGAAAACCACTAAAGTAAGAAAATAATTGTATTTTAATTGTATAAAGAATTTTTTAATTGTTCACTAAAAGGTATAGATATAATAAACATTAATAAATTTTATAATTTATATATTTACAATACATTAAATTTAGGCCAGTTTTGAGATATGGATCAGAAGGACCAGCACAAAGTTGCATGAATGTTAGATTTAATGAAGCAGGTACAATATTACTTGCTCTTCGAAGAAGATTACCTCCTGTTTTATATGCTGTGAACTCTGCAACGCATTTATGTCAATTTGATCATCCTGGATACTATAATAGTTGTACAATGAAATCGTGCTGTTTTGCTGGAAATAATGATGAATATATATTATCAGGTATGTAATTTATTTAAAACTAATAACTTGGTGAAATCTTTTTTGATAATTGAAATTAAATATTTTTAATATAGGTTCAGATGACTTTAATTTATATATGTGGAAAATACCTACAGATGATAGCATTAAGTGGATAGACTCAGCACACATGATTTTGCGTGGTCACAGATCAATTGTTAATCAAGTTCGTTACAATCCAGCCAGTTATGTCCTTGCATCATCAGGAGTTGAGAAGATTATAAAGTTATGGTCACCATTCCCTCTTAGTCGTAAATGTTTAGGAGGTCTGAAGGTAAGAGTTTGTAAAGAATAAAATTATTTCATTCTATTTATAAATATTTATGAATTTATATATATACATACACATGTCTTTTAGAGAGATGATGACAAAGAGGAAAAACAACGTAGAGTATATACACATGATGAATATATTGGTTTAGTTTTAAGAAGTGGACAATTTATGACTCATGACTATAGTCATCAATCAACTGATGAAGATCAACGAATGATGGCATTTTTTGATTCTCTTGTTCAAAGAGAAATTGAAAGTTGGAGTTCAGAAGATGTGCCAACTCCACAAAGTCCAAGTGATCCTGAAAATAATAATGCTACGGATCGTAATAATGCATCAGATTCAGAAGGTAAGTACTTTTAATTACGAACACTTTTTCAACATTTATATAAATTAAGACAATTACAAATATAATTAAAATTAGTAATTAATTAAAAATAAATTTGTCTTTTAATTTATTTTTAAAATTTCAAAAATTATTTAATGATAAAATTAGAAAAAGGTAAATGCCTTCTTTAAATCACATTTAAATTATGTATATTTATTTTAAAATATATTATATAATATATTATATAAATATATTTTTTTAGATATATAATATATTCAAATACTATATTAGATAAGGATATAATTGTATATGAATTTACTATTAATTTTTGTAAAAATATATATTTATTTAAATAATCTTTAGATTCTGTTAAAACGAGTAATTGAATAACCAGTTATATATATATATATATATATTATATTTTAATTATTTCGTAGACAAGTTTTAATTAATCAATTAATATAATTTTATTTAGGACCAAAATTTGTTGAAATGATAAAGAATCTATGGTTAGGATAATGATATCCATTTAAATTTTATTTATTATATTTAATCATATTTTTTACTCAACATTTATAATAGCTATTTATATATTATTTTTTATTTCTAATAGATTATTTATATTTATTAAATTCATAACCATTATTATTTTATTTTTTTAGACTCAACGGCATCAGAAAATCAACTAATGCGTCGCTTTATTGCATCAACATTTAATTCACTTGCTTCTTCTACTGCACCTGAACGACCACTTGAGTCGCCTAATCGTATAACTCGACTTATTGCAAATCGACGTGAAAAACTCATGCGTCTTGCTGCTCTTGAGGCTGGCTCGCAATTTAAGAATAGTATTGCAGGTGCATCATTATCGACAACGACGACTACGTCGACGACTATTTCTGTAACAAATACCACTACAAGGTCGACTCCAGCAGTGGTAACAACATTAACACAAGATGCTGAATTTAGCTTGTTAAATGAAAATAATAACTTGACACATAATAATAAAAGCAAAAAAAGCAAGATTATGCTAAATTCGAAAACCATAAAAAGAAAATACAATAGTCGGTTATTGGCTACCAGAAATCGTGCACGAAGAAAACTTTCCAATATCAAAGCAGATAGTGATTCTGAACCGGATGATCAATCACATGAGCTTATAAATACTTACGTAAGTATCATTGTTTGAATTTAGTAGTACTAAAATTTAATGTTATGATTTATTTAGATAATACAAAACTATTAATGTGGATTTGTTTTTAAATAATTTTATTTTATTTTGAAATCATATTAAATAATATCCCAGTATAAATTGATTGAAAATAATGTTTATATAATATTATTTTAAAATAAAAAAATATTTATTTTAAAAGTTAAAAAACTGAATAAACAATGCTATTATAATTTTATTAAAACTTTATGAAGTAAATATTTTTAGTATTGCAAAACTCAAGTAATAAATTATAAATAAAATATCAACGATAGAAATTAAGTATCGTTAAATAAATTTGTAATGGCAATATAAATTCTGTCAGTCGTGTTTATCATATATTTATTATATATAAAAAAGTTTATTGCATATAAAAAAATAGTTATAAGCTAAATCATTGCTTTTTCGGAAGTGCAATTTGTTTTTTACTATGTAATTATTTATTTCAAATATAATAGTTATATGAACATTTAATTTAATATTTAATTTGATAAAAATATATAAAATTATATGATCTATTATTAAAGCTTTGATTTATGAACATAAGAAAACTTATAAGCAATATTAAAAAGTATTTTCTCAAATCATAGCAACCACTCGATGCAACACAACCAAGTACAAGCAGTGGTGTGATTTCGGCTTGTTGTTCTCATTTCGTAGCTACACCGACAATCGCGGAATCACGAAAGAGACATCCTAGTAGTAGTAGTTCGGAAGATAATGAAATTACAATTATTAGTAATCATACAAATAAAAAACGAAATGTAAAAACGGACTCTGACAACTCAACAAAGGAACTTCAAAAAAGAAAGACATCACGTAGCAAGAACAAAAGTTCAATGGGATTGGCTTCATACGTACATCGTGATAGTCGTAATAAGAGTAAATGTCAGATGCGAAATGAAGGAATCGATGATCGTAATGAAAACGTCGCAAAGGAAGTAACGATTTTGCATAATAATATCGATAATGGAGAGACGCTAGTGACACCAACAAAGGATTCTAAACACTCAATTACTTCCGACAGTGGTATTACATCTGGTGTCTCGACAACAGAAAAGAATAATGTCTTGATGACAGGAGATAGAGCGGAAAGTTCAGATCGTGAAAGAACAATTAAGAATCTTGAGTGGTTTAAAAAGAAAGTGGATATAGCAAGGCGTGGCTATCGCAAACGAGTAATGCTACCGTTACCTAGCAGTAGTGAGTCCTCCGATAATTGAATTATATAATAAATACAAATATATCAAGAGGGCGAAAGTTGAAAGAGTGAGTGAGAGAGAAATCAAAGAGATTATTGCGCGTATATATACTGAATCTGTGATCCTTTAAGCTATATATATTTTTATATAATATGTGAAATATGAAATGTGTGTGTAACTATTTCTAGTAAACTTTATTATCATAAGTCCCCCTATTTTGTTTTTCAATTTAATTCTATACAGATATTAAAAATCTAGAACTTTTAAATTACTCTGAATTTTTAAGTGAATTAATAATTTTACAAATAAAGTTTTTGTGCACTGATTAATATCAATTTATGATTTACAATTATTTTAACTTGAATGTATATTGATTTTTAGTTTTGAATAATTATATAATTGATTTTTTTTTAATTTAAACAGTCTTTATATATATTAATTAAAAGAATAATTAATTTTATTCAGAAAAATTACAAAAAATTATAAAGATAATTAGATTTGTATTAAAATTATATGCATTAAACAAATGTTTTATTCAAATTTTTAAAAATTTTTTTATATTTTGAATAAATTCAAAATATATGAATTGGAAATTCAGATAATAATAAATTTCTTAAGACTATATTTTTATTTTAAAACATTTACCAGCATTTTTAAATAATAGTGATAATGATTTCAATGTATGAAATTTAATAATAAATGAAAGCAAATTGGGGAGGGTAGCATGGAGTCTCTATGTTATTAACAAATATATATATATATATATATATATATATATATTAATGGATGAATAACTTAATAAAATTTTATTAAATAATAATGTATATTAATAATTTGTCAATTTATATATGACAGAGAAAAAAGAACAAGTGAATTCTGATATGTTTACAATAAAATTAAAATTATTATGCATAATTGACAAATTTATTTGCAATAAATATATAGCTTAAAGTAATCCCATTTATTTATTTACTAATTTTATTAAATTTATTAACAATTAAATTTTTTTTTTAATTGAAGAAAGAAATATAGAATATTTTGTCATTTATCATTTTTAAATTAAATAATAATAACTGTTGATCAAATTGATACAATGAATTTCTTATAAAGTAATTTTTTACTTTCGAACAATATTTTTAATTATTGCTCCTACAATATTTTTTCTTCATTTTAATACGATTTAAGTAATTTGATTTGATAATTTCAATATATTTATAATATATAATGAATGTTTCAATATTCTTAAATATTCTGAAACATTTTAAAATTATTAAATTTAAAAATTAATTTGAAATTTATTTATAATAGATTATTGTTACATGTAATGTATAATATTAATGTAACATTAAATTTTAAACAAACTTTATATATAATTATCAAAGTAAAACAGGATACAATGGAAATTTTTATTCAAAATTTTACGATAAATTTCTAAAGTAAAAAATTGAAATATTCATAATTGTATAAATTTTTGTTTGAATAAAATGCACTATATGAAATTGGAATTATGTGCAAACAGCAACAGTAATTGATTATTTCTTTTTAAATAACTCTTAATCATTTTTAACCTATGTAATACATTTGCAATAAGGCTATTACACAAATGAATAACATAGTTTTTATATAAAGAAATCTCTTGGAAACTGATTATATCATCGATTTTTTTTTTAAAAATTGATGAAAATATTGAATACTTCCAAGCTTTATCTATTATTTTGTATCATGCAAAATCGGAAAGACAAAGAAATCATATTGGAAAAGGATATAAAATACATTTATTGAGATAATATTTTTCAATATGTTCTGAACAAAGCTAACTGCATCCTTACAGAGTATGCTTTGTTTATAATATACTTCAATACTAAAATTGCTATTTTAACAATGTATTTGAGAAATCAAACATAGGTCTGAAATTAATATACTGTTATTTATTTATATAAATCAGAACAATAAACATGTCATACCTCTGTTAAATTCTATACTTGATATTTCACATTGAATAATGAAATAAAATGTATTGCCTTGGTCAGATAGTCTTTAAATTTGAGAAATAATTTACATGATGAGATTCAATAAGAACAGTTTTTATTCTTAAAATGACTAATAAAAACAATGATAAGAGATATAATTTCGTAATATCCTACCTGTAGGGTACAATTTAATAAACAATATACATAATCCCAATTTCTCATAGAGTATATAAAACAAATTACTCAGCAAACAAATTTTATATATTTGTAGAAAATCATATTTTTAAAAATGTTTCTAGAAAAACTAAAATTACCTTTCTTACGTTGTGAAAGTCGATGCTTGAAAAAAATATTACATCAATTACATTAATTTGTTAATCACAACAATTCATCGCCACTATCTTTTATAAATAGAGACATTATTGATTACACCTACACGCCACGAACATGAAAGTGTGATATGAATTCAAATAGCTTAATTTTAGTTATCATTTTAATAATATGTGTAAATTTACGAACTAACTTAACATTCGCTATTTAATAAAAACATTCATAATATATTATATACGTTTAAAATCTACATATATTTAAACTTATTTTTTACTTAATTATAATCTAAAATCGAATATAAAATATAAAATATATAATTATATTTAATAATTAAGTGTAGCAATTTTTAGACAACGAAAATCGAAATAGTATTTAAATTATTATTTTTCATCTAAGGAAAGAGAATATTATTACGGTTATAAATAGTTTTATATTAAATATAATTAATATGAATAATTTGTTGTGCTTTGATATTTATTTTTCCTTTAATAAAAAGAATAAGTGAATTATTTATTCAACGGTTAAACGTTTTAAGGTAGATTACGCAACTTTTGAATTTAACATGTTTTAATAGAACATAGATTGCTATCATAATTAGGAACGATTTAGTATTTATTTGGACTATTATTTACTATTAATTTTTGTCATCTATTAATTTGTCATCTTTCTTTATTCATTATCATTTTATTGATTTTTTTACATGTTTCCATTAAAATCAATTTCATTTCATTTTGAATAAATTATAATTAATTTTATAATTACAATTAATTATATATATTAACTAATGTTGTTATGAAACTAGTATAGAACTTTGATTATGTTTGCCTAATAGATAATGCAACTAGCTAGTCAGAATAAAGAGATAATAGAAGAATTTGTAAAGTTAAGTGTTGAAAACCGTAAAAATTCAAAATACGAATGTTAAGTGTTATATATACTTGAATTTTAGCATAATTGTAAATAAACATTTTTCTGTAAATTCAACATGAGTACTCTTGACTATCATCTTTTCTTATATATAACAATTTAAAATTTACTTAAATTTCATAACCTATTTTCTTTAGTATAAAATGATTTATGTACATCAATGCGATCACAAGCTTATCCGTGATTTAAATATAAGTTATATGCATTACATTTATATTAAATATATATTACCAAACAAGTAGAAAATTCTTTACTACTCTATTACATATATATTATAAACCTGTATCCAGGTAAATCTCGTTGGTGCATAAACATTTCAATTAAATTAATTGTTATTTATGAAATGAAATAATAGTCTAAATGCGTAAAGGATTGATAATTATATTTATTATATGTTATAAAATATATAAAATAATGAATTTAAAAAATCTGTACAAAAATAGTTTTTAATAAAAGAAAGTTATAAATAATATAATAATTCTGACATATATCATGTATATTACGTTTAAAATCTTAATAAATATTGTAAGAATGGCCAATACAAAGTATGATTAAAAGGATAAGGAAATTAACGGTCACATACAGCAACCCAATAATTAATAATGGCAAGTAATATTATTAATTTGTTAATTTGAATGCATACAATTATAAACAAAAAATATAAAATAGTCCTTCAACAAATGTATAAGACTGAAATTGACTATAATCTTACAGCAATAGATGAAAATCATGTACAGTATGTGTCAAAAGATAAGAAACTTTATTATCAGTACACTTATTTTAACATAAAAATAAGTAAGATTGAACCTTTTATAAATGTTTGATCATACATTTAGTTATTTATAACATTTTTTGTCTGATTCAAAAGTGTTTAATGTAAACTAATAATTTAAATATATCTGAATTAAAAATTATATTAATATTGTAAATATAAAAATGTTATTTTTTTTAAATAATTGTGAATTATATAAAATAGCAAGATATTTTTAATATTAATTGAAATTTATAAAAGTTTCTTATAAAGTATATCAGTCAAGATAAAATCAGTGTATTTATTTACTTAAAAACATTCTATATATACATATATATGTATGCAAATACAAATATATTTAAATATAAAAAGAAAGTTATTATTTATGAAATTTTTATAACTATTTTTATACATAATGTTTTTATAAATTGGGTAAATCTAGTATTTTATAATTTTAGTGTATAATTTAAAAATAGTTATTTTATTAAAATATTCATTTCTTTTCATTTTGATTTATATACAAACTTCACATTAAAACTTTTATACCCATTTTTATTTAGTTATTTTCTTTTCTGAAATCTTTCATTCTCTAAGAATCAGATAAAAAGATAGATTTCTTTTTATCTTATTTTAATAGTCGTTAGAAGATACATGATACATTGAAGATATAAATTAAATATTTGATATTAGGTTTCAGTCCAATATAATTAAACAAAATTTTATGTTATCTGATAAATATAAATTATTGTAATTCATATTAGTAATTTTAAAATTATAAACTACTCTGTATTAAGCGTACCTGCTGATAGCAAAGCATAAAATTTGAATTATTTACTGTCACATATGATTTATATTACACAAGCCTGTTAAGCGTCCGAATATAGTTAATATAATCCATATTATACTTTTTAATAGCATAATAAATAATTATCTAAGCTATTATTTACATATTTATAACACTTACTTTGGTAAATTTAATATATTCCTTATGTTATATATTTATATAATCATTATAAAATATTTTTTAAAACTTTTATGTAGATAAAATTAAATATTGAAAATAAATATAAAGATAATTATAGAAGTTTTTTCAGCTTTATATGATTTGAAAATTCAATATGAATATATAAGATATATTATTCCGTGTAATCTCATGTTACCAAATCAATGTAAATAAAATATTAGAATAGTTTAGTCACATAAAAATAATAAATTTTTATAAATTGTTGAACCACTTGCACAAAATTATTAAATATTAATAGGTCAGAAATATCAAGTCATTTTATAACCATACGATCACTTATGCAATTATAAGGTAACAATTAGATTCATTTAATAATAAATTATGTTAATATCATTTTGTAATTGAATCAAATCTGTAAATTTATTGAATTTTCATTAATTAAAATTTAATTTTAATTTAAAGCAGAATTTAATTGAGTAGAAATATTTAAATAACAATTACCACATTTTCAAAATAAAAATGTTAAATAAATCAATGTATGCCTAATATTTCAAGTAACATTACATTCTTTTATATAATCTCACAGTTCAACTTTATATATTTAACTACTTTAAAGTATTTCCGTTTTAAATGTAGTTAAACTTTTTTTAATAAGAGCCCAATCTTCTAAAATTTCAGCATCATTTAACATGTAGACAATATATGGACCAGTGACAGCAACAGCTCTTCTTCTTTGAGACCTATTTTTTCTTCTTCTACCGTTAGAGTATAACCACAAATCAGTATGAATATCACTACTGTTTCTATCTTCTTCTAATCTACGAATTTTTTCTTGAAGATCACCTTGTATATCATCCCATAAAAGTCCCTTTTCACTATCTAAATTTTGTGCTGCAGCTAATTCTTCTGATAGAAATAAATTGCTTATATTGTCAAGTCTATATTTTTTTAAAACTTCAGCTACAGCTTCTTTAGTTTTCATAATTTCTTTTAAATGCTCAACATGTTTTAGATAATCTTCAGATTTCTCAGCTCTTATTTCAATTAAATTTTTCTCTATTTGAGAAATTTTTTCTTCATATATCCTATAAAATACAATATTAAAAAGTATTTTAAAAAATTTATACCAAAATAATAACCCACCTGATTAAATAAAATCATTTAATATTTTATTTATTAAAATATAATAAAAATATTTTGTTTAATAAACTTTATTACATTAAATTATATATAAATAATTAATTTTTATATAGAATTTAAATTTACATACTTTTCCCTGAGTAGATAAAATTGTCTTTCTAGGTCTACCAAATTGTCTAAGCATTCAATTTTACGTTGTTCACATTCATCTTCATCCATCTCAGAAGAATCATCGCTATCACTATTTTCCTCGCTACTCTCTGAGGATGAAGATGTCGCATTACTATCATTGCTAATGTGTGACATTTCATCTCCTTCTGCTTCTGATTCATCTTTCATGGTACTAGGCATCTGTAATTATTACATATAAATAAACTACATTTATATATATGGTAAATTATTAACATAGGTTTCTATTTACTAAAAAACTAATTTTTGTAATGTTTCATTAACTTAACCTAAAACAGTAACTATTAATTCATATCAAATATTTTTGGATACTTAAAAAATTACTTTTCTATTAAGTTTCAGTAACTATAATAGCTTTAATCTAATTAATAATATGTTAGTTTTTATAAATATGAAATATTTTTTAACATATATGAAACTCATTGGCGCCAAAGTTCCTTTGGATGTGTTTAAATTGAACTGTTTTTGAATTGTAGAGAAACTTATGTAATATAAAAAAACGATTTACTATAATAAAAAAAAATCTTTTATTTACGAACCATACTGTTAGTAATTTAAATTTACATAAAAAGAAATAGCGATTTCTAAATATTATACAAAAAATAATAATTATCAGTCACCATATTGTTTACAACACTGACCAATGATGGCTTAAAATTTTGTAGATAAAACGCTAAAGTGAAAATAAAAAGAGCATTAACGGTAGCTAAAGGTTCTCGTTTCTGCGCAATGTAAACATAATAGTCTGCGCCTATTTCAAATTTTTATGTAGTAAAAAAGATTCTAGGTGGATTAAAAAATAATCAAGAAAGTTTATCACAAATTGAGTTAAGCTGTCGTAAAAGATTAAAAAAATATTCGATTATTTATATAAATGAATATTGTTAAATAAATGGAAAGTTGCTCGCTTTACTTAATTAAATCAATTGTGGAGGAATTTTAATTGTTGATCAATGGTGTTTAATCTACCCAGTATTTATTAACGTATCGTCAATAAATATAAAATGTCAGTTATTTTCATATATATTGATCTCATTCGATGGCATATTTATATCAGATACAAAAAAACATTAATGATAACAAATCAAATTCTCATAATTAAATTTGTACTTGCTTATATGGAATTATTCATTAAATAATTAATGAAGAATATTGTTGGGACTATTTATTAACAGTTTAATGGTATTGGTAATAATATATTTTGAAGAAGTGTATCATGCTGTGTTTATTTAATCATTAAATTATTTTTTCTTTTTATCTGATAATTGAGTTATTAGTATTAATTTATAAACTATTGTTTAAAATGTGAATAGATTTATATGCAATTTTTTAATAAATTGTTAAATGATTTAATGACGTAATAAGAGTTTATGTATTAATCTTGTTATTTTTAATTATATTAATAATTATTTGTCAATAATTTATTTAATTTAATTACGATATACTAATTAATAATTTTCGATTCTATGTATTCGAGATTTAACTTAACTTAGAATTAAACTTGATAAATCATCAATTGCAACCAACAGGTGCTTAGTATTGAATTTTATTATTTATCAACATTCAATGGCTCCTATGATGATCTATACTAAACATAACATTAAAGATCTTCCATTGTTTACATTAAATTAAATTGAATTAAAAGCAATCTATTATTCTGCTGTTAATATTATTATAAGGAAATTAATCTAAATAATATATATAAGTTTCTTAGGATATCTTCTATTTACCTCCCTAAATAATATATATCACTAAATATTTTCGTTTGTGATTCAGCTTTTTAATAAATTATTCTAATATTAATGAATCGAAGAAAATAATATTTTGTGGTTAGGTTTGGTTTTAAAAGTAGATCACATACATTATATTCATTTTATTTAATATATTTTTATAGTAACATACTTTTTTTTGAATTGTCGATTTATTTTATCTCTTAGTTTCACACTTAAAACTACCAAAATTCAAGATTGTTGCGTTTGAATTCTATATAATAGAGTTTTTAACTAATTGATTCTTAGCGTTTTTGATAAGTATAAAAAAAGTATAAAAATATTAGTTTTGTACTTTAAAAAAATTAATTGCAATGGAAATTGATAATACAGTTTTTAGATATGCTGTTGGTTACAAATACAATATATATAGATACAATACAATTTATGCAAAATAAAATATACTTGTATACATATATTAATATACTTTTTTATCAACAATAGCAAATTTCAGTTATTCATTTATTAATGTTTATATTTGAATTAATTTATTTAAACGCTTATAATATTTTTATAAATAAATGGAGTTAATTCAATTGCATATCTAAATTGCAATCTGTCGATTCAAAGCATATGTACTATGAAAATCTAATCCGTTATATTTACCATCTGTATTGTATATGTGTATATTTGTGGTATTTTCAGAGCAAATTAAAACAAAATAATTTATATAAAGATTCTAAATTGAAAAGTGAGGTTCATACTAAATTTGTTGTAAATTTTAAACTTATGCTCATTTTATAAAGACCAGATATTAAAAAATATATATTTATATAAATTTAATATCACCATTGTTTTCATATCAGCACTTTATGCCAAGAAAATAGACAGCTTAATTATGAATAATTTCTATGGAAAAATAAAACACTGGTATTACTGGATAATAAAGTAATATACATGGTGACAAGAAACTTATTCGAAGTAAAATAATTTAATATAATAAATGCATGAGTTGTTGAAAATATATAAAACCTATTAAATTTGAATAATTGACATAGAAACTTGCTAATTATAAAATATAAATTTTATAATTTTCTGTAAAAAAAAATTTATAAAAAAAATTAAAATTTTTAGAATTAATGAATTAAATAAAAATAATGAACATATCTTTCTATTAAGAAAACAATTGTACATCATTATATATACATAAAATGAATAGATAATAAGATAAAAGACACGGTAAAAAACAATTTCTTGGCTAGTAAAAATCTGGAAGAAATTGTAAATTGTAAATATGAATATTTAAAAAGAATTCTTGTCATCCACGTATTATAAGATGACAATAAATTAAGAAAATAAACCAAAAACCAATATTGTATATAAAATTTAGAATATTAAAATACATTTATATATTTTCTTATCAGACACATTTCTAATCTTTTTATTAATTATCATTTACTATTCTAAATAGTTTAAAAAAATTCATTTCTTCGGAGTTGTAAATGCACATTGATTGCCATGCTATTTCGTGTTTAATCCATCCATGCTTAACACTAAAACGTGTGAAAAAAATTTTTTACCCTACAGATTACACATGTAGATACAAGATTTATTTAAATATTATAATTTTTTAGTTTTTTTATTCATTTTGTCATTAAATTTAAAAAGTTTAAAACAATGGAAATTCACATTTAAGACATTTTAATAATTTTATAATGCGGACTTCTGGAGGACATTTTATTTAAAATTTGTTTGTGTTTTAGAATATGAATTTAAATATATATAAATATATTGATAAGTTTCAAATGCCATCTAATTATTTTTATAATTAATTTAATAATTATTTAAATAACTGCATTTCTAGCTTTTTGATTTGTGGTTTTACAATTTATGTAATTAGAAATTTAGTTACAAAGACTAATTTATGAAATTAATTTGTTAAAAAACATATTTTGTCTTGGATCATGTACTTTATGTATGCAATTTAATTTATGTAAAGATATTGTTTCATTATTATTATTAATTTATTATTGAAATGTTTGAAATGTCCACGCTAAGAAACCTTTTTTAAAAATTAACTTTCTTAATTAATTTATTTTTATTTTATCCTTTATTTTATAATTTCAATACTTTTTACTTAGTAGATATTCCATTTATATTGTATATATAACATAATTTATTAAATTTTCTACATAATAATCTGGTCTTTTAGTATAAATATATTCTGCATGTGGGCTTCGATTCTTATTTTATAATTTCCTGTTTTATGTTTGTTGATAAAAATACTTCTATTCCAATATAAAAAGTAGTTCATGATTATAATATGAAATAATAATATGATTATGTATAACAGAAATTTGAGCTAAGCAATAATTGGTACGAATTCAAATTATGGAGTGATATTAAATCACTTTGTTTTAGAAAATTATTTAGATTGTAAAGTCCTGTAGTAGTAATAATTGAAAGTGGTAGATCGTATTTGTTTAAATTAGTGAATAAGGTTGACATTAGATTTGTAGTTGTATCTAATAGTGACATCTGTAGCGATAATTTTAAAATACAATAGATTTGAATAGGTATTGTAAATCTTTTAAATAAATAAAAATAAATAAAACTATTTATGAGTTTTAATGTTGCATAATGTTTTGATACACAAATACTTGTTTTCATATAGTTTTATTACAGAAGAATTGATTAAAGAAAAACAATCATTATCCAAATTATTTTAAATCTTTAAAATTTTATTAAAAATAAGATAAAAGTACATATATTCACATTTTTATTACCGTTAATGTTTATATAAAAAATATATAATAATTCCGAATTTATAGTTTCATTATTATGTTTGTGTTTTTCTTAATTATTCTGTTTTGCTCATATAGATGAAAGCTCATGATACTAATTATACACTATAACTGCTCCATATAAAAAAAGCTCAAAAATATACATCAAGAAACATTATATTTATTTAATTATTGTTAATGGTAATCCATATAAATACAAATATTTAAATTACACCAATATATGAGTCAATAAAATTAAATTTTTTAAGAAAAATATTGATATATTTAAAATTAATAATTTATGTGCATATTAAATAACTAAGTAAATGATATTTTGGATAATCTACTATTATTGTCAATGGTTGTTCACATTTTATCTAATCCATGATGATGCGCTAAAATAATTAAAATTAATATTAAATACAATTATACTATAATTCACTTATATAAATTAAGAATGCGAAGATCATTAAATTGTGCAATTTAAAGAAATTTGAGTAAGAACCAATACTAGATTTATGTTGAAATTAAAAAAAAATATTTACAAAAAACTATATAAGAAAAAGATGTAAAAATTGTACAAAATAATACAAGCTAAATAGGAATATTAATATAAATAAAATTTTTAAAATATAAATATTTTTCTAGACTCTTCAGAAACTGCAATTATATCAAATTTTACAAATTTCTTATTCATTTTTCTCTCTTTGTTTAAGTTGTATAAATAAGTTAAATCCATATAATTATTAAATTAAAACAAAACATCTAGTTTCTTATTTTAAAATACAAAGTTTCCATTTTTGTTACGATTGGTTATTGAAAGTAGTGATTACATATAACTACACTATAACAATAGTTAAATTTATACTCGGAATCAACATTCTTCGTAAAATTATTAACAAATAAAAGAGGTTTCCTTTCTACACAGTGTATACATAATAAAATAAAAAAAAACTTACTGGCATATTTATATCTATTTATAATTTGATTAAAATGTCAATTAAGCATATTGTTATTGGTTAGAAATTTTTATAAAAATTTTAATTCTACACATTTTAACTATTTGTTTAATGGTAATCGCAAGTATAGAAGTGAATCTTTTAAAACGGATTATATATATTTTTTGCAGGCGGTGGAACTGGATATATTGGTTCATGTATATCTACTGCTTTACATAATTTAAATATTAAAACTACCATAATATCACGTACACCTGGTATAGGAAGAATAACATGGGTACGAGAATTTAATTTATATTTTCTTATATAGACCAATAATATTGTTTCTGTATTTTTTTAATAATTTTCCTATATGTTAATAATTAATAATAATCATTCTTTTAGTAAAATTACAAGTTTGATAAAATATAATTTTCATTTAATTAATAATTAGTTTATTAAATCTTATATTTTATATTTAATTTTTGTTTTTATTTTATACTTTATATTATGAGAAAATTTTATAATCAAATAAAAATTTTTAATTCATATTTTTAAAATATTTAAATTAAGGCTCTTACATTATTATTTAATATATATGTTACACAGCTTTGTTAAAATTAACTATTCAGGATAAATATTTTAATAAATATGATTAGTAAAAACATGTTTTAATAATAAGTTTGAATATACTTTGTAAAATAATATATTTTTGCTGCATATATAGAATAGGAAAAAGTATTTATTAATTATATTTTATTAAATATTTCATTTATATTAATTTATTGAGTTTATTCTTTTATATACTTTTTATCTTTACAGCAAGATTTAGAAAGTAATGGACTTCCTAAGGATACAAATGCTGTAATAAATGTTACAGGTTTAAATATTTTAGATTTTAAGCAAAGATGGACCAAAGAATTTAAACAAAATATATTAAACAGTAGAATACAGACATCAAAAAATTTGGCTAAAGCATTACAAAATATAGATACTAAAGTTTTTATTACAATTTCTGGAGTTTCCTATTATCCAGCTGATGGAAAAGAATATTCAGAAAATGATAAATGTGAAAAATATGATTTTTTCTCAGGTAAATATATTGCATTTGTTTATAAATTTGTATGTAAAATATCAAATAAATTTAATTTTTATTTAATTATTAAGAGTTATGCCATAACTTGGAAGCTGCTACAGAACTGTCTGAACAGTGTTTAATAAGAACAGTAAATATTCGATCAGGTATTGTTTTAGGTAGAACAGGTGGTATGATTAAACAAATTTTTCTCCCATTCTATTTTGGCCTTGGTGGACCATTAGGTAGTGGTAAACAGTATATGCCTTGGATTCATATTAAAGACCTCGTTAATTTATTTATTCATGTACTAAAAAAGGAAAGTATCACAGGCATTTTAAATGGTGTTGCACCTCAGGTAATTAATTTTTATTTGATATATTTTTATGCTAATAAAAATCTGGAAATGTTACATTGTTTAGATTATCACAAACAACGAATTCACACAAGCTTTTGCATCATCTTTAAAAAGACCTGCAATCTTACCCATACCAGCAGTTTTGTTAAAAACTGTATTAAATGAAGAGCGTGCAAAAGTTAAAGATTATTTTTCTTATGTAATATTGTCATATTTAAACTGAATTTGATATTATTTTAATTTTTAGATTGTACTTGAATGTCCAAAAGTTTTACCAATACAGGTTCTGAAATCAGGGTTCAATTATCAATATCCTACTATTAAAGAAGCTTGTGATCAATTTGGAATTTTGGTTTATAAATCAGAACCATTTTAATATGATTTCATTTTTGAAATGTTTGTTGCATAATAAAATAAAGTAAATTTTACATATTATAAATAGTTGCTTAAACTAATTAAAATTATTTTAAAAGTATTATAAGTGATTTCTTGTATGTTTTGGCTTTTCAGTTTATATTTTTATCAGCATTACTAATAGTTTTCACATATATATCCATGATTATCCAAGGATGGAAGTATGATACAAGTGTAAAAAATTGTTATTTTATTGTTTATTATATAAAAAATAATTATGTATTAAAATAGAATTTATCACATACCATAATTATACACATTTACTCTACTTTTAGCCTATATTTTATAATGTGCATTAGTTAAGAAGACAATAGTGTTACATTTATATAATTCTTATTGAATAATATCAAGCAATTATCCTACCAAGAATTGGATTTAGTTTCAATTATTTAGATTAATAAATGATCCACAATACAAGATGTAGTTATAAAAATGTATTTCTAAAACATTTTATTTATTAATTATGTTTATTCAAGTTATTTATACAAATTAAAGAATGAATGGATTTTTTTGTGCAGTTTCTCACTTCGAACTGAACAATTTGTGATCTGAGATGAAGCCTTTTTTTTGTACTTAAGAGTGTTACAAGACAATGGAAGAGTATCTAAAAGTGAGGATTTTATTCAAATTATTACACGATGTTTAAAAGTTAAGCTTATTTTATTTTTTTATTTTATTTTATACAAATAATTGTTTTTAATAATACCATAAGCCTTATATTCATAATTACTAAAATTATTATTTGTTAAAATTTTAATATTAATTTTATATTAATTATTATTGGGTTGTTAATCTTAATTATTGTTCTATTTAATATTAATCAGAATGTTTGTCATTGAATAATTATAAATTGAACAGAATGAAAGCAACTCTCAAACTATGATGGATAACTTCATTCATGTATATTTGGAAAAAAAGCTGCAAGAAGAAACCTTATGTAAAATGTAAAGAGATTAACATTCTTAATAAAAACTTAATTGATTATTAAATAATAAGTGATTGATTAATAGTAAATAAAATAATTATAAATTAATTTATACAAACAAAATTTAAATAAAAATTACATTTCATTTTTCAATCCTTCTTAGCTATCAAAATCGCCGATAATTTTATTTGAGTGAATTATATAAATATAAAGATACATATAAAATTTTTGTGATATTGCTTTAGAGAGGGATTATATAGCATCGTCTGTATAGCCACATAAAGATCATATTATTGAGACAGTTTAACTCAACTTCTGTCATTTTCCAATGCTGACGAGTGATAACTACATGTCATTATTACATTTTTATTTTAAACAGAACAAAATCTTTGCCGAATTTTTATCTACGCGTTTTTTCGCTGTTTATATTTTGAACAATACTAAGATGTGCTAATAACGATGATGGTGTCTAAGGTTAATGCTTTCTTTTCCTTTATCGAAATGCACTAAATATTCAATGTATGTTACTTTGGTTATTCTTGAAAATATTTATTTTGGGTCTAATATTTTTGAGGATTTTATCTATTTATTGGTCAGCAATATACTCTTTACTAAAACTCGTGAAGGTACTGAAGCTGTCTCTGAAATTAACGGAACTTTCATAATTGTATGATATCACGGTAGTAGAGGAACTTAGCAGTCTACTCAGTATCAGCAAACTCACAAATAAATTTTGACATCTAAACCACCAAAGTATGAAATAAAATCAGTAATTGAAATTATAAGAGAATAATCTTTAAGAAAAAAAATTAATATTAATAACTAAAATATCGCATAAAAAATAATCATTTTAAAACAGATTACTCGAGATTCTCAATTTGCTAAACAAGTATATTTTAATACTTATAAAACTACATGAAATTATTATATGTTTATATTAACTATATACCACGATGAATAATAAAAAATTAGACGTGAGAATTGTAATTGTAATTGGAAGTGATGAAAATATTTTAAGCGTTTAAAAATGAAATATATAATAGTGACTTTTATATCCTTCTAATCAAATAAATCTTTAGAAAGAATTTATGCAACAATAAAAATATAGGTCGGAATATTAATTAAAAAAAAGAAAATATATGAACAAAGAAGCATGTAATATATACAATTTATATTTAACAAGAGGCATTGATTACACACCTATATATCTGGAAGTAACTTATTTTGGAAAGGTATGTCTTTCTTGGGAAAGGAAACTTCACACCATTAGAGATAAAGTACCAAAAACTACATAATATATAACAAATTATTTAAACAAAATAAAATAAAAATCAGCAATTAAGATCGTCAATGTTATTTTATAATATGGAGAACAAATTTTTGAATAAACAATATCTGATCCAAAATTCTAATTAAAAATTTAATAAAGTATTTAATAGATAGCTCAATACAATGATATTTAATTGTCCACATTAATTCTGACACGTTTATGGTTAAAAACAAATATCAGTTATAATATATACATGCAAGTGAACTAACAAATAAGAGATGCAAGCAACTTATCAAATATTTAAAATTATTCGATAATTAGTTTTTGTAAAAAACTGAATTTTTTTTATAAATAATGTAAATTACAAATACAGTACATTTGCAGTTTCAAAGACAATACATGAGATAATAAACGATTACTTAACATATTTCAATTAATTTTGATATCCAAATTATTTAATTTTATTAATACTATATTCTTTTAATACTTTAAAAATGATTTTTATATTATATATTCATAAAAAATTATTATGTGAATAATTTAGTATTTATTAAGGCGAAAAATATAAATATTATATAAAATTAATTTAATTATAATATAAATTAATGAAATAAATTATACAAATAATATTATTTTCATTTATTAATCACAAACAAAAAAAAGTACTTATTAACTAAATTATAATTGTAATTAAATAATGGGTTATCTATAAATGTAATTTTATGTTTAAAATTTGTAGAAATTGAATTCAACTACACTCTATACAAATTCTTAAAAAACTAACACAAAGTATTATTATAAAATTTACTTAAATATACTCAAATAAATTGAGTATTTTTAAAATTCCATTTTCATATCTGTAATATAAAAAAAATTAAAACTTTGATGTATAGCAATTTATTTTATTTACTTGTATAAATACCATACCACTTTGCTTAATTTTTTCTCCTTTTTGCGAATTTTCAAGACTTCTTAAAAATTCTTGAAATATATAGTAAGGCTTATTCAAACTGGTTTTTTTATAATCTTTGATTCTCTTTAAATTATCAGTTGATTCTCCTTGTTCAGTTATTTCTTTTGTGTCAAATGTATTGATTTCATTAATTAAAGTCATGATAGTTGGTACATTATGTGGATCAAATTGATCAACTAATTTTGGATTTATAGGTATGCAAACCTTGCCAGTTTTAGGATGAATACAAAAAGGAGATTTCAACAAATGGTTCAAACCTTTAGTCACATTTATGTCTAATCTTGGATATGCATATTGAATCATTATTTCTTCAATAAGGTACCTCATTTTACACCATTTCTTTGAGCCCTATGATAAATCCTATAATAGTTATTTGGAATATAAATTCTGAAAAAAAATTAAAATAATACTTACTGATTGAATTTGATCTTTAAAAAAGCTTACAAAAGCTTCCCATTTTGTTATACTTGTCAAATGTTTATTAAGTACATCTTTCACTTCATTTCGCATTTCATCTTCTGTAATAATCCCTAGAAATTTTGTTACATTATCTTTTGTGCCTAGCATATTTTGTTCTTCAATACATATTTTGATAAATACTGGTTCAATGATGCTTAATGCTCTTCTACAAATTAATATTTTACAGCTATAAAAATAAAATGTATATTTATATAAAAATAAAATTACTTTTGAAAATTTACTTAATGGAATGATGCATTTTCCTTATTTTTACTTTTTTTTTTGTACAATCTCCACCAGTTATTAATTGCAAATAATTTGCTATACCTTTTCTACAATTTTGTGTTAAAAAGCGAGCTTTTTTGTCACATACCCAACAATGTACACCTCTTCTTCCAGAAAATACCCACAAGATATGATCAAATCCAAAATCATCTATAATAAAATAGACTGTTTTTAATAACATTATTTTAAAAACTTATAAACTATAATCATTAAAAAAAATACTTCTCAAAGCTATATCTAATATTTTAACAGCTAATGCCATATATTTCCAACATTTGATACAAATATCTGCTCCAGAACAACATACTCTTATTTCATCGTAATCAGTCATGTCAATATCTATTACAAATTCCTTTTGGATAGGTTCAAATTTTACTTCTCGCTTTTTGTTAGATGGTCTAAGTATAATTATATTAATTTAACTGTTTATTTGACATAACATTATGTTATAATAAAAATAATAAAATACATACTCAACATTATATACAGCTCCAATATCTATTTTGTATGGACAAAGCCTTTTTATTTCATTTTTGAAATCATTAATTTTTCTAAATGATTGAAATCGAATATATATATCATCCCGTAAAGTAAATGAAAATTCTCTACGAGCAAAAGTATTTGCTAAAAATAAGTAATTTATATGCATATAGTTATTATAAAAATTATGTTTATTATAATAAAACACAAGGAATTACCTTCGCCACAACTTAACCATCGATAATAATCAATGTAAGGAAATAATCTTGAATAATATAAAGGGAGTAAATCTAACAAACTTGATTCATCCATTGCTTAATTGTTCTAGTTAGCTTACAACAATAACTATTTAAAATATTACAAGTAAATATTTAAAACTCGATGAACTTTAATAACTAAACATCTATATAATTGTAATATTAAATTCACTGTAAAAATGACTATTTTCTCAGTACAGAATTTTGTATGCGACTAGGTTATATTAAAATTAAAATAAAATAGCGGGCTCATTGAGAACATTATTACGTATTTTATTTTTATATTTTTATTCCCTCCTAAATGTAACAAATATAAACATAAAATATTTAATTGCAAAAATAAAAAAAATGTTAATAATTAATTATTAAAATAGATATAAATATAGATTTTTGTTAGAAAAATTAACTCATTTGCTCGATTACTATTTTGCCGCATATATAGTTTATCTTAAGAAGAAAATATAGAATTTATGAAAGTGTACTATTTACTATAAAAATAGTAGATGTATAATATAAAATATGATTCTATTCTAATAAATAATATAATTACTAATTAAATTATTTCAATTTAAAATAAAAAAAAAATTAATAGATAATTATATAATATGTATACGAATAAAATAATTATTACTAAATCATTAGAAGAATTAATATTCAGAAGAATCAATAGAAGAATTATTAATAAATGAATAAAAAAAGTGATTCATATTCAACAAACTAATTAATTTTTATTAAATAAGGCTATTCTCATATCGTAGAACAAATTAAATTTTAAAGACAATAATAATTTTTTGAAATTTAAAAAAGTAATTCAAACAATTATATAAAATGCTTAAAGATGCTATGAATAAATTAAAAAAAATACAAAAAAAATTATTCTCTACTATATCTATTGATGCTTATTTAATTTTTAATATGTTTTTATTATATTGTTTTTATTTTAGTATAATGTTTTTAGTGTATTTAATCTTTACATTCATTCAAATACATATTTTTACATTTTATTATTGAATTAAAATTTAATTTATTAAATTTCAAATGTACAAATAAAAATATATATATACATTTATTCTAAACTATAAAAATCAAAATTCTTTGTTAAATTGAAAATTTGCATATATAAATTATATTTGATAAAATAATTTCAGTTTTATTAATGTTTGTTTGTAAATAAGATGTACACATACAATACATAATTATCAACTTTAGATTAACGAACCTATTCAATTAAATTTTTTAAAATTTATATCATTAATAAAAAAAAATTGAATCTTTATAATAAGATAGAAAATTGACAAATTACATAGAAGTTATATTTTATACATTAAAATTATAAATTTATAAAAGATTCAGACTGTTTATTGATATCATATTGACGAAGCTGAATATGTTTATTAAAAAATGTTACTGTTTCAAATTTAAAGAAAAATATGTATTATTTTATATATGCATAATTAAATTAGAATATTTTAAAACAAAGCAAATATAATAAAATTAAAAAAAATTATTTAATGGTAACAAAATATTTGAAAAGTGAAATGAATATACAAATTGTAAGAGATTTATACAGCTGATTTATGTTTAAACATTTCTTTGTTTGTCAACATTCTAGCAAAAAATATTAAGATTAAAAATGTATTACTTCTAAATCACTCTGATGAGATGTTTTATATAAAGATTTACCTCTTATTTGTTTTTTGATGATAAGTCATGCAAAAATTGGGTACTATATTTAACATATGCATTACAAGTTAATTATTGGTATATTTTTATTAACATGAAAAAATTGTTTATGTAAGTATTACAAGCGATTTATATTATGTACCGCGATATGAATTTTTAATTCATCCATTCAGCACATCTAAATAATAAAATATTATTTTTACTGAAAAGAAAAGTTATAAGGGTAGGCTTGATAAAAAAATATAAGATTGATTATAAGTAGGATAAAATAAAACTTTATTAAAATAAATTATATATTAAAAATAATATATTCAAATGTATTATGTATTATTATTTAATAGTACAATACAAGTATGACAATACACTTATGAAACGTAATTTACATAAAATAAAGTGACATATATGGATAATACTGTCTTGAACTTTTTTTAATTATTTCAGTAATTGGTAACTCATTGTTAACAATTTGCATTTTTGCAAAGTTTACATATTTTGATATTATTTATTTTTATTATATTTTAGCATAATAAAGTAAATTTTTTCATAATATAAGTACTCTAGTCATATATTGCCTTATTAATACATTTTTAACATTTTTATATAAATATATTTGAAATTTCGCGCGATAATATTTTAATAAATCTCCTGAACGTGGGTTACTCACGAATGCGACATTTTACGTTTGATAATAATGCAACTCGAAGTTAGAATACGAAATAGTTGGGGAATTATTTGATTTTGCTATAATAGAAAATGACAGGAGCCTTTTACTGTTATATAACCGTAATATGACAGAATATAGGAATACACTTTACTCATATTTAATTGCCATAATTTATTAAATCCATGGGTCATACACCTTCATACTAGTCTCCGATCACCCAAAAGTGATCCTGCTACAATTTGTAGCGTAACTCCGAAAAATGATATGGCAAATGTTAATTTTTGCAGTATAATTATATATCGTATAAGGATTTTATTATTTTAGTACAGTATAAATCGATAGTACTTCTTTCATCTACAGAAATTGAAGGTAAAAGTGTTATTTTATTTTGATCGATGCAAAATGAGTTTCTCCGTGAAAAAGACTGGGGGTAGAATGTGGCATGAGGCACGAAAGCAAGAGAAAAAAATTCGTGGAATGTTGGTTGATTATCGACGACGTGCTGAACGGCGAAGAGACTACTACGAAAAAATTGTAAGTTTTATCTTGCGTGCGAATTTTGTTTTATCTTTATTTTTAAATACTTTTTGGGAGTGGTTGATGAAGTATTGTATTTGTCTTTAAACTAAACTATTAACATTTGAATTTAATAATTTGTCTTTGTTATGCTTTATAATTTGCATTTTGTACATTAAAGTTTAAATTAATCTTTAGTAAAATACTCATAGTAGAACAATAGTGGATAGAAAAATTTATGCATATAAAAAAATAGTACACAAAATGGTATTTGATTTAAGTAAATGAAATTAAATTTATGAAACTTTGAGATACATTTTCAAGCAATGTAATTTAATTATAAAATAACATTAAATCTAAAGTGTATTAAATAGTTTTATTATATATACTAAAATACAAATTTATAAATTATATTAATTGTAGCATTACTTTTATTTTAATTTGTTATATATTAAATTAATAATTTAATAAAATTGATTAAATATTTTATTTTTATAAGGTTTTTCTTAAATTTACTTATGTATATGTAAATACTTTAAATTAAATAGTCATACCATTTAATAAGAAAAACATAATTTTTATGTAGAAATCAGATCCTACTCAATTTCTTCAATTACATGGAAGACCATGTAAGGTTCATTTAGATCCTGTAATTGCAGCTGCTGGTGATAGCCCTGCAAATATGCAAGTTTATAGAATTTAATATTTATAATTATTTCTTCAATTTTTTGATATTCTTTTTATAAAAATTATATTTTTATAAAGGATGCCTTGGCAAGGAAATAAAGATAACTTAATCGATCGATTTGATGTTAGAGCACATCTTGATTGGATTCCAGAAGCTACTAATACAAATGACATTGATATTCCATTAACTAGCGAAGATAGACATATTAATTATGAAAGATATCGTATAATTGTCCAAAATGAATTCCTGACAGGTATTTATATTTATAATGGATTAAAATTTAAAATAGCATAGTTAGCATAAAATTATTAAACAATGTTTTGAATATTGTATTTAAAATTGTCAATTTTATATGCAACATAGTAAATATAACATACGTTATTAAAAAAACACAAGTTATTACCAATTATAAATGTAATAGAAACATAATGTCATGGTATCAATAAAACATTAACACAAAACATAAAGATTTATTACATTAATTTTTTAGTAACTGAAGAAAAATTTCTTCATCAAATCCATCTTGAAGAGCAATTTGGATCGTCAACTAAATTAGAATTTGCAAAAGATAAAAAAAAATCAAGTAATACTGCAGCAATTGGCTATAATTATGAAACAGAAGAAGCAATATCAGAAATTTCAAAAACAATAGATCCTAATTTATCAGAGGAAAAAGAAGATGAAGACAGTGATATTGATTTAGATATTTGTGTAGATGTATCTCAAATTGAGCCTTCACAAGCTCATGAAATGAATTTAGTGGCTCAAAAGTATGGACTTTTAGGTGCTGATTATTTCAGTTTCTTAACTCAAGATTTTGAAGAAGCTGAAACATTACGTCAAGCAAGAAAACAAGAGGAAGAAAAGGCAATGTATTCTGTAGGTATTATTCTATTAATTAGCAAATATCCAAAGCAATACAAAAGAAAATAATAACTATTACATAGGGTCGAAGATCGAGAAGAGAGAGACGTGCATTTAGAGAAAAAAAGATGATTGGTCGAATAATGAGTCCTCCAAGGTATGTAATATAAAAATTAATTATGATTGTAATATATAAATACAACAAATATGAATATATTTGTACTTACATGAATATATTTGAGGGAAAGTATCACAAGAATTTTTAAAAAATCAATTTTTTTAATTAAAATGCATAAAGCCTGATAAAATATAGCATAATATCAAATGTATTGAGAAACAGTGTTTTTAATTTATATACATATATGAATAAATATAAGAAAAATATATGTGTGCTCTGAGTCTTATTGAAATTGTTTATGCATTTGTTTCAAAATTACTAGTTTTATACCAATTAAGCAATATAAAATTTCAATAAATGGTTATTAATTTCATTAAATTAATAAATTTTTAAAAATGTGTTTAATTCTGGCTTTAAAATTATTTTGTAGAAATACAAGTAATTTTTACTTATTTTATTTCTTTTTGTTCCAAACAATCATGTAATTATTGTTTTTTAAATATTTTTTATTAGAGGGAAACAATTTAATGAAAAATTCATTTGGCTTTTGACTCCTTAAAACATTGGGTTGTTATGGAAGCAATGTAGTTGAAGATTATTTCTTAATTTTATAGTATAATGTATTAAATTTAAAAAATATTAATAAAATACAATTATTTTTTCATATAGTGTTCATATCTGTACCAAAATGAATAATGTGACTGTAGACTGTTACTTATTAATCATAATTGTTAATTAAATTATTCAAGGATTCAGCTTTTATTATATATATTATTTATATTTAAATATGATCTTACAGTTATGCTGCTAGAGAAAGCCCAGAATATAATCCATATAGAAAATCATCTTCCAAATCTCATTCTCGCTCAGCATCACCTGCCAATGCAGGACAAATTACATATATTACTAGTTTTGGTGGTGAAGAAGATGCAATTCAAGGTAGCTCTTCTCAAGTAATAAATTCAAAAAAAAGTAATTTTATAAATTTAAAGAAAAGAAAACCAGATAGTCCCATTTCAAATGATAAATTATCAAATAAAAAACTGGTGAAGTCTAGATCACGAAGTAATTCATGTTCCAAAAATAAACCATATCGAAAAAATGACTCAAGAAGATTTAGCCCCTCATATTCTAGGTAATTACTAAAATATAAATATTCTTATTGCACTTTATTAAAAATATATTAATGTATTTAAAATATATGTTAAAATTTTTTTTATTGAACAAATGTATACCTTTTTCATTGTTTCTATACTGCATTGATAAAATCAAATATTTATTATTTAATATTTAAAAATTAAAGAAAGACATGTTTATTGTTAAATTAAAATAATTAATAAATTATATTTATAATTATTAGATTATAAAATAAAACAACCTGCAGTTTTAAAAATAGAAATTATAATTTCTATAATTTAGTTCAATAAAAATAGTTTTTATATACATTAAAACTATATTAATTATTAAGTATGTCTATAAATATTAAAAGTTATTATTTACATATTTTAGTTGATTATTTAATTGTATATTTGTCAATATATATTGCAATATAAAAATGAAAAGATGCTACACCATTTAAACTTAATTATTATTGGTTTCATTTTTTTTTATGAATTATATTTGATTTTAAATTTGTATTTTATAGATCACGTAGAAATTCAAGAAACAGAAAATATGGAAGGTCCAAAACGTGGAATCATACTCGCTGGTCTCGCTCGTTTTCTAGATCAAGGTCTCGTGGTCGAAGTAGATCACGAACAGATAGCAGATCCCGATCTTTTTCACAAACAAGATCAATTTCAAGATCAAGATCAAGATCACGAATAAGATCACGCTCTCATTCGTATTCTAAAAGATCATCGTTAAGCTCTAGTAGATCATCTACAAGTAGTAGTGAGAGTAGCAGATACTCAAGATCATTTTCAAGGTCAAAATCAAAGGATGAATTGAAAAAGCAACGATTTTCAGAATCCAAGTCTAGGTCTAAATCAAGAACCAAAACTGAATCAAGATCGAGATCAAGATCAAGATCAATGACTACAAAGTCAAGATCAAAATCTGAATCAAGATCGAGATCTAAGACAAAATCCATGACTAGATCTAGAACGAGATCAAGATCGAGATCAAGAAGTAAAAGTCATAGTAGATCAAAATCGTCCAGATCTAGAAGTAGATCAAATAGTAAACGTTCCAAAAGCATAGAAAATAAGCCTACTGTATCGAGGTAATTTGTTATCAATAATTTTACAGAAATTATTTTCCATTGAAATACTTATAAATTGTAAAAGTATATATTAAAATGTTAAAAATTATTTAAAACCTATGTAATATCAGAAAAATTCAGTTCGCTTACTATTTTTCAAATATTTTGAAAATAAAATATATTTATGTATACTAATATTATTGATAATAGAAGCTGATATTATTGAAAATTATATATGAAACCAAAACAATATTTTAATCTTTTCAAATGTTTGAAATTTAAATGTATAAAATAATCATTTTATTATCAATATTGTTGTGAACCTAAAAATAAAGAAAATATTACTTTATATGCATATGTATAGTTAATAAATGTTGTGATACAATGTAAAATCATTTAAATTTGAATTTAATTAAAAAAATATTACGTCAATTAATGTTTAATTGCATATATTAAATTAATGATAATTTTCTCAATGATACATGTAGATTTGTTATTACTTGAAAATTGAATAATCATATTTTTTTAGGTATTATGGTCGGCGAGGAAAGTCATCAAGTTTAGAAATAGAATTATCTGATAATGAAACTAAAAATTTTCAGTCTGTATCAAAAACTTCAACTAATTCAAACATGTAATTTTTTTATTTCTATTATTTTAATTATTTATTATATCAATAATTTAATTAAATATTTATTATATTTACAGGAACAAGCCAAAAGCAGGGTTAAGTACAAATTCTGGTGGCGGACACAAAGTCAGTAAGAACCGTAACGCTTTATTAGTCATTTAATGCACAATGCAAAAAAACGTACAATTTTCCTCTTTAAAACCTTTTTTATAAAAGAAATAAAAAATATATTTATTTATATTTTTATTCACAAAAACAGCATGCGGATTTCCTATTCTTATTTTTAATTGATCTATTTATCATTATATTAAGCAAAATAAAATACCTGCTCACTCTCCATCTTTCTTTTGGTGCATCTTTTTATGTACTACAATATATACTTAATCGAATTGCAAATTTTTGTAAATATATGAATCATTTTTAAAGATGAGTCTGTCTCGTCTATATTTATTAAATATCCATAAGATTTTAATTTTTCAGTCTTTAAAAATTACACCTCAAGAGCGACTAAAAAAAAAAATGCAGACTTTATTAAATAGGCAATGTAAGTAAATATTTAAATGAAATTAAATTATTTAAATTATTTTGTATACAACATATTATCTTCTTTAATGTTTTTTTTTTAGATAAAGCCGATAAAAAAGCTGAACAGGCTCGTATTGAAAAGATGGAGCAACAAAGACAAGATAGAGAGGATGAAATACGAGAAATGTCATTGAAACTTCGTAGAAAGTAAATATGCATGAGTAATCTTTAAAATCAAATCAAATTGTGAATAAATTTAAATAATGCTATCAATTTTAAATACTAAATCTTAGTAATTTTATATTTTAATTTTTCTAATTTAATTATAAAAAAAATATAAAAAATTATGGCGAATGTTAAAAGTGCATAATTCATAGACAAAGGGAACGAAGGCATCGTTACGAAGGTCACAGTTCGGATTCACGTTCATCAGAGTCACGCTCTCCAAGTCCGAGTAGAAGCTCACGTAGTTCAACACGTAAGGATAGACGAGATCGAGAATACAGAAATGACTATGAAGGTGACTGTGATAGAGATAGAACTCGTCAAAAAAGAAATGATGATAAAGATAAAAGTAGCAGACAAGATTTGCGAAAACGATATCGCACACCACCTCGCCATTCAAGCCCTAGGAATAATCGGTATAAATTTGTTTTATTTATAAATATATTAGTGTGATATGAATTATATATAAAATAATATAATATTTATATTTTTACAGTGGTTTAGTTGATTATTAATTTAATTGCAATAATCTGAGGACAATATTTTGGCATTGATATCTAAATGCTGTGAATTTTTTTAATTATCAATTTTGTTTTATGTTATCTGATTTAATAATTTTGTGTAATAAATAGTTTTAATGTTAAATATTTATTGTATATTTTCTTTGTACCTTTCATTGCTTACTTCATTGAAGTATTGTTTAAAATTTTTAGTTTGTATAATTAATGCATATTGATCATTATAATTTTAAAGAATAATACGTTTCATTGTTAAACTAAAATTGTATTTCATTTCTGCAAAGTAGGAATAACTTTAAACAGGGTTATATTGCAACAAAATGTGTTTGATTACAGTTGGTATTTTAACAAGTAAGATAATAAATACATATTTATTTATTTTTAAAAAAATAATCCAAAATTAAAATTATAATTATTGATTATAGTTAATTGTAGTTATAAAGATATATATTGTTATTTTTTGCATAATACAAAATAAATGATAAAAGGTAATCAAGGTTATGTCCTTTTTTTTTAAATCTGATTTTCATTTTTAGTAAGTGATTCTTGTTTTAAACATAAAGCAAAAGATGTAAGTGGTTCAATATTAAAAAACATAGTTAATAATCAAGAATCTAAAAATGATAATGTACAAGAATTTCAAATACAATGTAGTGATATTGTCCCAGATAATGAATTTATTATAATGGTATGTTAAAAATGTTTAAATTACTCTAATATTAAACTAATATCAGACTATTAATTATTTAATTTTGATACATTATAGGAAATATTAACTAGGTGGTCTGACACAGAAAAAATTAATGTTATTTTAACGACTGGAGGAACTGGTTTTTCAAGTCATGATGTTACTCCGGAAGCTACAAAAAAAATTATTCAAAAAGAAGCTCCAGGAATTGTATATGCTATGATTTCTGAATGCTTAAAAATTACTCCAATGGCAATTCTATCTAGGTATTAAATAATTAAAAATCTATTTAAAAATTTATTCTTTGTGACCTAGTTTTACAAATTAAGTTGTATAAAAACTTTATTAACTCTAAATAATCGAAATATACGAATTATTCAATTCTTCATTGTATTGAGAATTTTGATTTATTATTAGAATAAAAAATAGTCATTTTTATTTATTTATTTAAATCATGAGATTATTTAATTAAGATTATTTTATAATAATAAATTCAGATTTTTTATATATTTATAATGAAATATATCATAAAATTTTTTATACAAAACATGTTCCAGGTATTAATAAAGCTATATTTACTAATATAATTTATAGTTTTTTCATAGCTTTGAAGGTTTTTCTTAATAAAATTGTTTGCTTATCAGTTAATTATAATTATAATTTCATAAAATAAATTTTCTTTTTATGACTTTTATAAATATTCATTTATTGTAAAATTTTTAAAATATATTAATGAATTTAAATATTACTAACTATATAATTTTTTTAGGGCTGTTTGTGGTATTCGTAATCAAACTTTAATTATAAATTTACCTGGATCACCAAAAGCAGTAAAAGAGTGCTTTAATGCTATAGCTAATATTATACCTCATGCTGTTGATCTAATTTTAGATAATAAAAAAAGTGTAGTAATGACTCATAGCAATCAAGATGATACACATAACAATTATTTATGCAAAAATTCAAAAAATCCCTTGAATTTATATAAAATTGCGCATCGAGATCGAAAATCACCTTTTCCACTAATTTCTTTAGAAGAATCCCAAGATATATTAAGAAATACTGTAGAGAAACAAATACCTTCTGTAACTATAGATTTAGGGTCATCTTTTGGAAGAGTACTGGCAGAAACAGTTTACTCTCCTATTGATGTACCATCGTTTAATGCATCTATTAAAGATGGATATGCAGTAATTGCTCAAGATGGTAAAGGCAAACGTACAGTTATATGTGGTTTGGTAGCAGGTCATAATGTAAGTGTAATATATATGTTTAATTGAAGGTGCAAGTTAACATTGAAGTATGTTTTATAAAATGAAATGAAAAAACAAATTTTTTAATTAAATATTAATCAACATACATGTAAATGTAATTTAAATTATAAATATCTCTATTTCCCATTTCATTTTTACGTGTACATTCTACATTTTAAATAAAAGTTTATTTTTTAAATTTTTAAATTGAAAGTTTTCTTTTAAATTTTTATATTTAGATACAGATTTGAGTATTGATATTTATTTCATCCTTATTGTATGATTCATAATTCATAATATTTCAAATATATAAATATGTTTGAAAATTTTAATAATAATTTAATTTTCATAATACTTTTTTAATATTTTTACTACTATATGATCATTATAAACTTAGGTATTTTTTAAATTTTTTATGAATTTTTATTTTTATTTTTATTTTTGAATTTTTATGAAACAAAGTATTTATTTAAAAAGTCTTAAATACTACAAATTATTTGAATAAGTTTTATCTACATTTTACTTATAATATGCTTTAAAACATAAAAAATTTATATTTTTATAGATAATAATTAATTACATAAGTTTATTAAACGAATTTTTTAATTTAACATAAATGCAACAAATCTAACTTTATACGTTTAGTTAAGAAGTGTGAAAATCTTACCTGGTACTTGTGCTAGAATTAATACTGGTGCAGTTGTTCCAGATGGTATGTGTTTATAATTATATTATATTCAAATTTACTTATATTAAATAAATGAATTAAACATTCAGATGCTACAGCAATAGTGCAAGTTGAAGATACAAAATTATTACAAGCAGCGGTTGATGATATAGAAGAAAAAGAAATAGAAATTCTTATTGAACCGACGGATGGATTAAATATTAGGTATTTTTCGTTTTTGTTTTTTATGGGTTTAAAAATTTTAATGTTATAAAAAATTAATATATATACATTTTATTATTAAATCTAAATTAATTTATAAGAATGAATATCTTCAATTTTCAATAATTTTGTTTTTTAAGTTTCTGAAAATGTATGAACTATAGCTTTTTCATAATTTGAAAACTGTTAATTGATAAAATTAATTTATCAAATGACATTTATTACATACATGATTTATTATTTATAAATAATTGAAATAAATGTTTAAACAATGATTCTAAAAAATTATCATAAAGATAAATAGTTCATTATTACATACTATTTATAAAATAATTTTATTTTTGATTATTCAAACATTTTTAGATGCATGCTGTTGATGTATCAAAAAATATTATTTAATATGCATTATTGAATTAATTTGCTTTATGATTGACAATCTTTAATTTTTCAAGATCAATTGGAAGTGATATAAAACGAAACAGTGCTGTTTTAATGGCAGGTACAAAAATGGGTGCTGTAGAAATCGGAATATTAGCTTCTTGCGGATGTAATAGAATTTTTGTAACACCCAATCCAGAAATTGGAATTCTATCGACTGGAAGTGAATTGCAAGACGTTGGTGAAATATTACGCCCTGGTTATATTTATGATAGTAATAGAATTACATTAAGAATGATGTTACAAGCAAAAGGGTTTAATCCAATCGATTTTGGCATAGTATCCGATGAGTAAGCATTAAATTTAAAAAGAGATCTGATATTATTTTTTAACTTTTAAATTGAAAATTATAGAGAATCATTAATGGTGGACAGAATTGGAAGAGTTTTGAAAAAAGTGGATGTTCTTATTACAACGGGATCTGTCTCAATGGGCGATAAAGATATATTAAAACGTGTATTAAAAGAAGCTTTAAATGCAACGATTCATTTTGGTAAGTAAATTATTTTTTAAAATTTTTATTAATAAAATTATATCATAACTTACATTAACTACCTGATTTTTAATTTTAATGCAGTTTAAACATTCAAATATTTTCTGTTTTTAAAATTATTTATATTATTTAAATTGTTATTTAAATTAAAAATAAAATATTTAATTCTTGATAAAGACTTTAAAATAATTGAAACTTTATTTAAACATGATTATACGTTTAATAAATTAACGTATATATTCAATTCAAATTGTTAATAAATGGATTTTTACTTTATTTTTTTTAAAAAGGTAGTTTTTGAAATTATTGACAATATTTTATCTATAACCTCATTATTTAGCTATTTATTCTAGATTTTTTTAGTAAGTGACTTTTTTAAATTATCTCTAAATACTATTTTTATATTTTAATCTTTTATATTTAATCAAATATGAGACATCATATTATGGATCAAACTAAAAAACAACAATTTAATTTTGATGAAGGTCGTGTTAATTTGAAACCTGGAATGCCAACAACGTATGCTACTTGTAATTATTTTGGAAAAAAGAAGTATATGTTGTGTCTACCTGGTAATCCTGTTTCTGCGATGGTAGCCGTAAATTTATTCGTCTTTCCATTATTGAATTATTTAACGAACAACAATGAACGGCTTACTATAGTAAAAGCTATGGTAATTGAAAATTAACATTTTAATCTATCTTAAATTTTATTTATCCTCAAAATTCTTATGTTATAAACACGTCTCTTTATTATCAACAATTTATTCTTATAAATTCTTTCTAAAGCAATTTAAATCTTCCAGAAAGCAATACTAAGCAATAATAACTTTGGAAAATTTATAAATATTAATTTAATAAGATTTTTTAAATATAATTTTATACATTAAATTGTTTATCAACGTCTTTTCCATTCCATTTTATGAAATAACTTATTTCTGCATTACTGTCGCCCCTGTACACACACGCACGCACGCACAAATAACATTTACCACTTAAAGAAGTTAATAAGTTATTTTAAATATATCAACAATAAAATAATTATTCTTGGAATTTTAAAAATGAAAAACTTCAGAAAACAGCTTATTTTTTTTAGACAAAACAATATTAAATATTTTATTACTTATTACTCAAACTATTTAATGTGGTTTAACCATTATTACACCATAATTTATTAATGGTTCCAATCCACCATTTGTAATTAATGTTTTTATAAGTCGATTTGGAAATTTGATATGTATATTTGCACAATACAGGTGAATACTGATAGATTTTTAAAATATTTAAAGTAAAAAATAAAGTCTTATGTGTTATGATTTACATCATCCATTTATATTTAATAGAATTTATACCGTTATTTCTACATTATATAAGAATAAATTGATTGTATGGCTACGTCGCCATTATTTTTGTTTTGTTGACAATTTAAAGAATGATAAATTCATTCATATGAACTATTAATTTTAATAATTAATTAACAGTTAACATCCAAATACATATTGGACTCAAGACAGGAGTTTGCACGAGTTATACTTAGATGGACAGATAATCAAATTTATCCGCAGGCATATAGTACTGGTAGTCAATGTAGTAGTAAGTTACTTAGCTGCAGAAATGCAAATGCTTTATTGATACTGCCACAAAAATCTTCGTCAATACAAGAACTCGACAAAGGAACATTGGTGGACGCAATGTTACTTGAATTTAATTACAATGTAAACAATATTTAGAATAAAAAAAAATCACTGAAGTAATCATTAGTAAAATAATTTTAACTTTTAAATATTTTTTTAATCTTTTGGTATTTGAATATCATTTTTATTAAATAATAAAATTATAGAAATATTTTTATGTATAATAAATCGCTATCCTATTTTTGTAATAATTATATTATTTTTAAATTAATTTTGATAAATAAATTTGTAATATTTAAACAAATTCTAACATTAGCGTAGTGCTAGTATAATGAACATAAATTTCTTAAGAAATTATTTAAAAATTAATAATGATTATCATGTAAAATAAATTCATAATATTTTAAGTTGACCTATGAGTTATAGAGTATCATGACTCAAAATTTAATTCAAATAATTTAAATACTATTTTACTAATTATATCATTTTAATAAAATATATGATAAAATAAAATGTATGTCTTTTATTATATATATTTTATAAACTTATCGCTTACTAATTTCTCTTCAATTTAACAATCGGCGATATGACTATAGTTAAACATGCAATCATTTCCATCAGATATAAAATCATAGATTAATTGATACACTAATAGTATAAGCAGTTCTTTCGTTCCATTTCTCTTTTGGTTACGAAAAATTAAATCCTAGTTTATGACGATAAAAATCAATAAAATGAAATTCAGCTAATTAATTTCTAAATACAATTTTAAATATACAGACAAATTTGATACAATGCACTCTTGCATGAGAAAAGAACATAAGGATGTTCAATCAATTATTTGATTCTGAATTTCAGAAAAATAGAAACATTTGACCAATATTTATTAATCAATAAATAAAAGTTAGATATTTCAAAATGTATTTAAAGGATAAAAAGCTTTATAAATCCTAAAATATCAATAATATAGAGTAACAAATGATAACACGTACAGTATAAAATGTTTAAAGTTAAAAAAAATAAAAATTACTTCAACTTTCAAGTATCTTAATATTTACTCGGATCAAAAAAAAGCTTTTAATACTACCACTGTTACTGAAAATACTTTTTAATATAAAACTCTTTAAGAAAATTATTAGCAAGTGAAATATACGAAATGATGTGTGAAATGAAATATGAATGTATATAGCTTATAAAATAATTGCTAATATAAATTTTTCTAAATAAACTTAATTTATAAAATATAAGATCAAAATAAAACTGCAAAAGTTTATGTGATAAAACCGGTTTCTATTATTTTTTATAAACGTAATGAATTTGAATATTAATCATAATGCAGCAAAATTCTAAGTTGTGGCAGTGCCATATTCTATATATATGCAATACATCTAAAATATATTGTAATATTAAAAGTTAATGATTGCAAAAAATTTCTAGCACTATTAAAGAAACGATGAAATTTTGTATTTGCAAGAATAGCTGTTTCTTTATTGTCAATAATAACTAATTTATAATATTTTGCCACACCGATCTATGCATAAATTGTATATATTTGAACAAATGTACGAGTAAAAATATTGGCAATAGTACCCATTATACTATTTATAATAGTTTAATGCTAAATCAATATGCAATAGCTTTTTACAGTGTTTTATTGTTGCTTATATAAATATAATATAGATATGAATTTTTATTGTATAATAATTTTGTAATGCGAAAAAATATGTCATTTATTGATAACGAACCCATAACTTTAATTGGGCAACTTGTCAAAAAATCAATTGTAAAATGATTGAATTGGTAATTAAGATTTTTATGTATCATTTTATTTTTACAAAAATTTACACAAAATTATGGTGGTAATTATATTTTTATTGCATATAATTAATGTATATAATTTAATGTATATATGTAACAAATTACTAGTACTTTTTAATCTATTAAAAAACTGTTGTTATTAATAATTATTACTTTGAAATAAACCGATAAGTAATGTAATTTGGTTTATTTAAATATTTATTTACGCCACTTAATATTTGGTAATTAACATGATTAGTAAATGAAATTATTTGCAAATTCAATTTTACTTATTCTTATACTAATGATCTTTTTATTCTAAGAAATTGAAGAGAATGTTTCAATAATTTCAATATATTCAATTATATTTAAATTTTATTTAAATTTTATTTCTTAATTATTCAAATTTAATTATCTTCTTAATTATTTATATCCGTATGATATAATTATTTTGTTCACAAAATTTTTTGGTATTAAGAAAGCTAAATTGTTAGATATCAAGTAAATTTTACATTAAATAATTCATAGTCCTATGTACACGAGTATTCACTTTTCAATTGTTTGAATAAATTTTAACAAAAATTACCTGATACACGTGAATTGTTAAAATTTTTTTTTTTATTTTAACCTCTTTATCCCCTCCCCATAAAAATATAGTAAATTCATTGTAAAAAAAAAATTTACTTGGTTTTGAAACCAACATTTATTAAAAACGAGAACATATAATCTTCAGATTTTTTGGAACTAATTCCGAGGAATCTTCTTACTTCCTGAATTATAATGAAACAAGAAAGCTGAATCTTTTACTATCTTAAATAACAATTTATATGTAGTAGTTATATATTTAATAATTACGAGCCAATATAAGGCTTTTGTTTGCTGAAAACATTTATTCGTGACTCGTTGACGCTGTATTCCTTTTTAACGTCTTTAATTCGGAAGCCTGTCACGTTTTTCACTCGAATTGAAGTTAAATTTCATATAGGCAAAATAACGATTTAATAGGTAATCATTATATTTTAATTAATTATAAATTTTAAAATGCTAAAAAAATGGAATAATCTGGTGTAGTATAGTGGTTACATGTTTCACGAAAATCTTACTACTACTTTTTATAATGGATTCAGTTTATATTTTTAAAGACTTGATAAATAAAACGAAATAGAATTTTAAAAAGTTTTTATGTATTTATATGCAGACTTCACAGACTTTATATAATGTTTTTATATTTACGAAAAATGCCCTTTTTTATATAACAAATATTTTATTTTAGCTATGGCATTTTTACTATCTATATATTTTGAGAACTTATGTAATATTAATATATATTACACCATTCTAAACATTAAAAAGAGTTAATACAGGAGCTGTGTATACAAATATTATTTTTTATTAGAATGAAGATGCCTCATTACCGATAAAAGTGTTAATTAAATTATTTTATTAGAGTATTAATTATATAAATTATAGTTCTTTTTTTTTAATAAGATAATATATTGCTTGTTAATATGAAATTTCAAAAACAGAAAAATATTTTATAAATGTGTCTACTACATAACCTACTGTTATTACTAATAAAAATTCAAGTGTCTTTCAATAAACTTTATGATTTATTACATAAACTATATGTTTAGATTACAATGTATTGATTGCAAGGATATAATAATGAATTACCACTAAAAGAAAACAGATTTTGACTTAGATTGAATTTTATTATGATAATCCTGTCAATTTCTAAAATATTCTCATCAAATTTGCGTACGGCGTACATATATAATATTGAATATAAAAATATAAATTTAGTATAAATCATATAATTATAGATACATTTATATGATTATTTATAATCATAAGAAAATCATAAAATCAATGTGTATCATATATTCAAATGAACCTTTGTGAAATGAGTCCTTTTTTTCCTCCCTCACCGCTTATCTCATGGGATCAGTGCGTCTTCAATAGGCATTATCTTTGTTGCATAAGCTTTGGAACTCCTAAGGATTTGTTTGTTTTGTATGAAAATTGAAATAAAAATTTAGAATAAAAGAAAAATTATATATACCATTGGCTTTTTTTGAAGTATCTTAGATGGAGCTAGCTTAGTTGACTTTATTTTCCTTTAAATCGAATACTGTTTCGAATTCCATTCACCCGGGTCGAAGGACCAAGATGTTTAGGATTAAACCAGGAACCTATACCAAATGCCAATGCCAAAACGTATTCTCAACAAGGAGCGTTTCACACAGTCCCAAGGTGCACTCTCAGCAAGTGCTCTCTTCCACGAGTCAGTGTAAGTAAACACCACTCGACGCCACATCAAGGTATGAGACAATTTCTTCGCACTTCCACTCTACAAGACATCAACGAGGAGCTACACGAAGAAGTGTCCAAAAATTTACGACCGCACACTTCTCCATGTAAAATCCACCACCAAGTGCCCCACGTCAAGAGGATCCGGAGATTTACGATCTCCTACCTCTACATGTAGTGTATGCTAACACCACGTGGCACCAACCGAGGAACGGCAAGATCTCAGTGACTCATCGTCAACGTAAAATCAATATAGTGTAGTTGTAAAATAAAACGCAATAACAATACCAAATAAAGCTACCCCTTCCACTTATCCACACTTTTCTCTGTGGATCACGATGTGTTCACAGTGGACACTGTCTAATTCTAAACATTTTGGTCCGTTGAACCGGATAAGTAGAAATCAGCTCATTCCTTCAGTATTTATATGATAAGCAGACGTGCCGTTACACTCTCTGATCTTATACCATCGCAACACTGCTGTTTCTATCATAAGGACACATAGTAGTCTGTGCCACAACTTACCAACAAATCTTCTCACCGATGTAACTATTCCCGTTTGTTGTTCTTCTCATATACTACATAATCATTAATATAATACCAATTCGTGAGAAGAAGGAAACAAAGAAAACTACAAACCTGAAGTGCCTATTACACAAGATAGGGAAGAACGCATAACCTGCAGTATTGCTACAGAGCGATTACCCGCTGAGCTTTTGAAAGCTCAAAGTCAGTGGAATCGTATTTCAGCAATAAAGGAGCGCTAACGAGTTCCCTTCATCTCATTTGGACATACCCATTGAAGAAGTCCTAGGCGTAAAGGGGTAGGTTAAAGATCTACACAAGACCTTTAACAAAGAACACAGCTATCTTTAGTTAACATGGCCGTCAGTGTTGTAAAATTATGAATACTTCACGAAGAACGCGCAAGAGGAAGAACTTAAACATTACTCGTTTGATTCAATCATGCAATCAACCATCAACAAGCTGCGTATTAAATGAATCAAAAAGGACAACAACGAAGTCGGATGATGTATCGCCAACGATATGGTAGTCAAGGGAATTGACCTGGCTTCCACGTTCACTTTCCAAATTCTCAGGCGAACGCAGCATGACCTATATTCCGTGATCTCTTTGAATCAATGATCCTCAAAAGCCGCAAGCTCAGTGAGGTGCAAAAACTGCATAATCTTGATGTCTTCCAGAGTGGAAATGTGAAGAAATGGTTCGATACCTTGATGTGGCGTCGAGTGGTGTTTACTTGCATTGACTCGGGGAAGCGAACATTTGCTGAGAGTGTGCTTTGACACTGAGTCTCAGGTTCCTTGAGAGTGTGCGCTTTGGCACTGAGTGAGAGGTTCCTTGCTGAGAGTTTACTTGCAACCGCTTTGTGCGCTCTGGCACTATGCGTGAGATTCCTTGAGAGAGTGCGCTTACCTCAAATATCCACACGGTAGCTTAGTTAGCTAATAACAATGAAGGCGACTGTGGTGCTAGAAACAGTGGATGCGATTGTGGTTGTTTTATCGGATATACGGCTTTTCCGGATGTCTAACGACTGTTGGAGATTTTCTCAAAAATTATAACCATTAGAGGATTTCCCAGAAATTATAACGGTTGAGGTTTTCTCAGAAATGACAAAGATTGGAGTTTTATAAGATACGAGAGATTCTTGGAATCTGGAACAAATACCATTTGTATAAGTTAATTTTTTAGATGGCATCAGCTGAATAAATCGTATGAAGTGAAATTGTCTTGATTAATAATCTAAAATATAATCTAATAAAAATATTTTATAAATGATTTCTGTGATATTTTTTTCTGCTTTATTTAAATAATTTATAAGCACTATATGTACTGAAAACCTTATCTTAACTAATCCGGATCATTGTTTCAATTTTGAGTTGCTTCTAAAATATCTTGTATTGTCTTATAAATATATATTTAAAATAAAAAGTAATTTGATTAACGAAACAATATATTTTATATTATTCGGAGGTATTTTAGTAATTCATTTTATTACATTTTATTCTAACTTGACAGTTTATTGAAATTTAAATTAATTGTTATGGGTTTTGTTAAAGTAGTCGAGTTTCAAGAACTGTGACCTAAAAATTAAAAAATTTAAAACTTTGAAATTAAAATTGTAAATAATGCAAATTATGAAAATGGGACAAAATGTTCTAATTTTGAAATGCGATCATATAAAATGGATAATTAGTTTTATTTTTAGATTTTAAAATATTCTAGTGATAAACTAATAACAAGATATATAACAGAAAATCAAGCAAATTAAATTATAGTTTGACAGTAAAAATTTAATCGTATAAATTTTTATTTTTTAATTGCGAATTAACAGGACTTTTACAATATTCAATTAGACGTATATGTTTTCACAAAACAGTAATTTTTGTATTTAAATTGGGATTTTACTTTTTACTTATTATTTTTTACTAATATTGTTTACATCGTTTCAATGAAAATCGACATATATTATTATAGATTTTATATTTACTTCATCGTATTTTATTTTCATTTTGTTATCTTTATTTTTATTAATTCATAGAAAGATTGATAAAAAATTTAATAAGCTTTCCGATATTGTTTTGAATTCATAATTTTATACCAATGATAAATCAGAGAAAGAAAATATGTAAGTATATAATAAATATAAGTTATTAAAACGATATGTAATATTTATAGATATAAATTATTTAATTTACTGTAAAAAATTCCAAAATTTATACATTGGACATCATTATTTAAATACTTTCAATTATTTCTTATACGTGTTTTAATTTAAAGCTATGAATATAATATAAATAGTTCATAAATTATATCGTTAATTAGAAAATGTGTATGTTTATCTTTAGACTTTAAAAATTACTTTTTATATTTACACTCTAAAATGAATTAATTATTATTTATTGATAATAAACTTTCGTTTTATTAGTAAAACTAAACATTGAGCTGTTTTGTTAGCTTATATAGATAATGGTACAATTTTTTAATAAACAGCAAAGAAATTATTTATTAATTTTAAACCTTTCATGAGCAAATAATTATTTAGAAATAATTAAGGGTAGTTATTCATCTATTTGAATTCATATAAAGTCATAATTATATATATTTATTATTACATAAAATAATAATATTTTTAATTTCATGACATCAAAGAATAAACTGGTTATGTAACACCATTAATAATTTATTTAAGTTTTTATTACAAAGATCCTAAATTTCGAAAATCTGTTTTTTTTTTTAATTTTACAGATAAATAAGATTACTTTGTTATATAGACATCAAATATTTATGTTAAAGTTAAATTATTTTATATATATAATAATATATATATATATATATATATAATATTCATTATTAAGATTACTTAACTATTATATTCAATTTTATATATTTCAAAATGATTGTTGTATAACTGATAAGTAACTTTTTCTAATTTTGTCTAATCAAATGAAAATATAGAATATTGAATAAATAAAATAAAAATTAAATATGGTAATGTGTTTAATTATTTTTTTTACTAATAATCTTTTTTAAAATACCAAATACTAGTAATTTTATATTAATTAATACGATAAATATAAATTATAATAAAATGTATTTATAATAATATACATAATATTACTAAATGTTATATACATAATGTTAAATTGTTAAAAATTTGTATTTTGTAGGTCTATCTTCATAACGATCATAGTATAAATATTTATATATATATATATATATATATATTAAACATGTTTATTTTATAATTAATATCTATAAATAACATATGAAGTTTAATAAATATATGAAATTCATTATTATAAATATATAATTTATATAAATATTTATGAGCTTTGATATAATTTATTCATGTTTTATAGATAACATAGGAATCAATGAATATGTTAATAGTTACTTTTAATCGAAAGACTTGATACACTATTCTAAATAATTTCCAATACTTTATAGCCGAAACTTACTTTCTCAATTAATTTTTAATTTATGCTTTATATATAACTAGTGTATTGTACAGAATTAGTTCATTATATTTAAAATTTAGATTTCAACGAATAATAATTACGTGAATATTTAAGATGTACTTTGATGTACACTTTTTTTTCGTATTATTCTCTTTTGATTATCTTGATTCATAAATATTTCCAAAAATTCGTACAAAAATTTCAAGTGCGTCTATTCGCATTATTTTTTCAATTATATAAAGGCAACGTCGTAATCTATTTAAATATAATTGTATTTATAAGGCATTAATGCATTGTATGAAATATATGTATATACATACTCTTACAGTCGAGTTTGCACAACCTTGGAATTAGTGTTTGCAAAATATTACCATAGTATTATGCGCGATTATCAAAAAAATCAGAAAAGCATTCATAGCTATCAATCATAATAAAAAAATGTATGCACAATGAGTAACGCCGCCTTCGTATTTTCTAGGTAAATGTTGATTCTAGCATTTGCTTTCATTATTCACAACGTCTTTCTTCCATACCGACCGCAGTTACTACACCACAGTTGCAGTCTATTTAAAGTTGATATAGTGTTCGGTGCAGCGCCAGAAGTGGCTCACAGAGCGCTGTACGCTGCTTGTTCTTGAGAAAATGGCCGATGCTGGGGCCAGTAGTGTCAGCAGCAGCAAAGTTGAGAGAAAAGGGCAGGGACGTATTGTGGAGCTGCCGACTGCTCTCCGTGTATGTGAGCGCGGTGCCGTCGTTCACGATAGTGCATCCCAGTCATCCTGACGACGGGGCTATAAAGTGTTGTGCCGCGTCGAAACATACACGGACTCGTCGTGGATATTCGCTAGTGTACGTCGACGTTGATGTCGCTGAAAAAAAGGCGAGTGAGACAAATTTGTGCACGTACGCATCAAGTAGCTACGCGCGCCGCTGCTGCGACGTTCGTGCACACAATACTTAGCAATCCTCGTGAGTGCGCGCTCCAAAAAATAAAGCACGCGAAAGAGAGAGAGAGAGAGCAATCGAGTGAGAAGAGGAAGGAAGAAGAAAAAGACAACGAAGAGAATAGGCGCGTGTATACTTCCCCTTCTGTCTCTCTCCCTCTCTCTTTCTCTCTGTCGCGATATTATAAATACCATCGGATCATGAAAGGTGTATGTTATGTAGTAGCTCAGTGTCAAGGAGTATAAAAAAGAGTAGTCTGTATATAGCTACACAGTGCAATCAACGATAACGAGAAGGAGAGAGGGGGAGAGAAGGACAAAGTGCGTGTGCGAATGTGTTTGTGAACGTGTATACGGTCGTGGGCTATATAGGCCGATTAATAAATACATAATATATGCCAGTGGCAACAATACCCTTACAGCAGACTTCTTTTTGATTACTATAACCAGAGCCAGACGGAGGCACAGGTAAACACGATTGTCCTCGTGCTTTCTTGCAACATTCGTATCTATAACTATAACAATCCCTTGGAGTTGAGTAGAAAGAAAAATACTAAGGGATTATACGTAAGAGTATAAAGCCACGTCGTCTTTCTAATAATTTTCTCTTCCGCTTTCGTGTCTGACCCCTTCTTTTTTTTATAGGTTATAACTTTACCTGCTGTTTTCTTTGCTCCATTTTGTTCATTTATTTTTTTCAACAACACTCTTCGTGAATTGAAGACATTCAATTTTTTTTCTTCATATTTTTGATAAGGGAGAGTAGCGTATTATAGAATAGAGACAAATCGTGGATGAAGGAAATCGATCATTACGGCGGTAGTCGTCGTAGAGTTTTATCCTGATCGGTCAAAGAAATATTAAGAGAAGAGGGTTCGTCAGAGTCAAATAGAGAAAATAATATTGGTGACTAACGCAAACGTTAGTTGAAAATAGGACATTTAATTATTAACAGAAAGAAACCTTACCGTAGCAATTTGTTGAGAATCTGATTTTATTCTACCTTTCGGATAAGAAAGTACAAATGTAGGAAAAGAGATACTTTTCAACTGTTAATTATTTTAATTAGCGAAGTTTACTATATACAACTACCGTTATTTTATCATATATTTAGACGAACAAAATCCTTTTTTTTTAAGTTGTAAACGTAAGTGAGAAGTCTCTAGATACGTTAGATCATAGTTTAAAATGAAGGTATACGTCTGAAAAATGCAAAATATTCCTATCGCTACTTTGCAAATTAGTAACTTTCCTTTTGGAGTTGCCATTTTATCGGTAACCGTATTAATGGACTTAATATATTTTCAATTTACAGAGTTTTATAACAACTATAATTATTACTTTAGTGCTTTGTCAAGAAAATTTGTTAATTTTTAAAATTTTAATATATTCACCTTCAAATAATATAAATGACAATTAAATTTTAAGAATTTGGCATGTTTTTTGGCAAATTAATTATTTACCAAATAAATAATTATTGTACATTTGGAATGCTACCATATATATTCGAAATTACAGATTATTGTTACTGAAATTATTTATGCACGCAATAAATTACAATAATAAATAAGGAATTAGATCATTTTAACTGAATTTTTACAAATAAAAGCTTTTATTTTTTGATAAATATTTTATTACAAATTACTATTTCAAATATTTATAATTATTAACGTTTATAGAATTAATGATATGTTCACATTATTTTCAACAAAATGAATATTTTTTACGTATATAATTACTTGTAATGATTATTATTATAAATTAACTTTGTAGTATTATTTAAAAAAATAATAAAGCATTTAATTACCTTTAAAGCTTTTACACAAAAAAGATATGGAAAATATGTGTTGAAATTTTTATAATTATATATTTTGTATTTATGGTATTTTATAATTCTATTTATATATTTTGTAGATATCAATTTAAAATAAAAATACAACATGTAGATTAAACATATCTACAAATAATATAGATAAACATATATTTTATTTTTTAATGTATATATGTAATAAAATAAATATTAAATTGTTGACTCAACATGAATTGATAATTTTCAACACATACGTTTTGTAAAATAATTAAAAATAAATAGATTAACTATTTGAAATGCGATTAAACTAAAATAAGAATTTAATATATTCGATGATATATTCATAAAGAGAGTTCGAAATTCCAAATCACGGTATATATTGGTTTTTATGTACAATTATATTTAAATGGAAAATAATCTTTTAAGTGAATGACAATTTTTATAAATGCTTTTAAATTATTATAAAGTCGAATGTTATTTATAACAACGATATACTGAACAAACTATAGCCATTCTATCGGTATTTTTGAAATTTAAAATGTAATTTCAATAAATATTGTAAAAGTTTATATTTATACAAAATATGTTAATAGTGACTAAAGAAAATATATTTATAAATATTTATATAAAATAAAATAATTATTACCGAATAACAATATTGAATAAAATAAAAGTGTTCATTATAGATTTGATACATAATAAGGTTTAAGTATTTTACAATAAAATTATTAAATTATTTCAAAAAGCTATTTATTATAAAAAATTACGGACATATGTTGTATATTTCTTTTTTTATGTGATACTATTGCAGTTAAAAGTGTAATTATAAACTAAATTGTAAACTTAATTAAAATGAAATTCGTTAAATATGCAGTTTATAATTGATTTATCTAGACTGATTCTGAAATATTGTTTGAATCCGCCTCTTTTAATATTTCATACAAATATTTAAAGTATGGTAATTTTACGTAAAAAAAGAGACCTGTTAAAAATATTTATATAACTTCATTTTCAGTAACTATTTAATAGCGTTATTTATACAAATTTGTTATAAGCGAGCATACAAACACTTTCTTACTCGCTCACTTGCAAACATATTAATTATCTATCTATATAATTAGCTTTAAAATAATGTTTTGTTTATTTAAAATGATTTTCTTATTATGTATTATAATAATATAATTTAATAATATTTTTGATGTAATATTGTATGAATAATATAATATAATAAATATAATAAATACAATAATAATATATAATATAATAATATAATCAATACAATCTAAAATAGAGTCTATTGAGAAATAGTAGATAAATATGACAAAATATTAACATAAAATAGTAGATATGTTACCATAATTCTTTTGATTGAGCAAGTTTAATATAAATATAAAGAAATTTGGTTTTGTACAAAATACCGATGATTTTATTATGAATAACCAACATTAAATTACTATACATGAATATCATTGTTTTCTATTTTGTATTGCATTCAGATGAAAATAAACACGCATTTCAATTTAAATATTTTATAAACTACTTTATTAAATTAATTAGAAAATAAATCTCTTAATAGCTCAATTATTTAATTAAATATAGATTCTTTGAATTTTCCAGGAACACTTATTGCATGTTTATATTTTGTTCATTTTAAAATATGTATTTCTATTAGTTAATTTGCGAAATATATTTAAAGAGAAAATAAAATAAGGAACATAGTGACAAAAAAAAATCGTATATTTTTATTCGCTATTCAAGCAATAAGGGACAAAATATTTTAATCTAAAACTATATCCCCAGTGGTTAATAATATATTTAAGATTATTCAATATATTGGTTATTATTATAGTACATATATAGTACATTATTATATGTGTAAAAATATAAAATTTGTTTATTGTATAGAATTTGATTCTGTAATTTATAAAATTAAAAGCAAATTATAAATTTTCGGGTAATATACTTAAAATATGGAAAATAAAATCTATTTGTTATATTATTAAGCACTTTCTTATTTACTTATAGACGAAGAAAGCTTTTTCTTATCCTTATATATTCAAAACATTAATGACATTTTATAGAGTAGTAATAACTCTAAAGCAGTTCCCACTTAGAGTAATTTTTTAAGATTAAATAATGTGTCAAAAACTTAAACACAATTGATAATTTATGATACATAATGTGTTATATATATATATACACACACACACATATATATATATATATATATATATATATATAATTATTCTAAAGTTAATTAATAGTATAAAAAATTAATTTTGATCCAGTTAATATATTCTTATTTGTGAATTTGGAATGTTCTTATGTTTAGTCACAACATATAGTATTTGCTATTTTAAATTCAACTAACATTCTTTTAATCAAAGAAAATTATTATAATTCTATAATCAACATGTAATTTGGAAAAGTATATATATATGTATATATATATATACATACATATATGTAATGTACATACTAACGCAATCGTATGTATAACATAATTTAATTAATCATTTATTACTTTATTGTAATATAAGTTGCTAAAATAAGAGATAATATTAGTTAGAATTCTCATCTTTATTCTGCACGTATAGCAAATTTATTCTAAAATTATAAAATTTGATTTAATATATTATAAAATATATTTCTAGTCTGGACTACTACTTTTTAAATATAATTAAAATAGAACAATATCTTTGTATTTGTAAAATTATCATTTGTTCTTATATCTTGATTAAATTTGTGATCTTAATCATCATTATCCTATTAGTTATGGTGAAAGATTTATTTAATAGTAACAGTAATATTTTTATTTAATTGCATTATTATAAACTGTCTTTGCTTCTAATAAATCTATTTGGACAAAATATATGAGGCTTTTATTTTTTCCTTTATTCAGTCACATTTTATTATATGTTATTTTTTTAATTTAACTTTTTTTTGTCTTACTTTTCATTTTACTTTTAGAAATTTTTGTTTGCTACATTAAATATAAATTATATTTAATATTTTATAAATAAATAAATAAACACGCATTATTGAAAACGGTTTGATTTATTCTTACACGTGTTTATTATATTAAAAAAAAGTTATAGCTATATCGGTCACTCTTTATTAAATTAAATTAATCGTAAAAGAACGAAAAATAAATCTTATTTATAAAAACGTATAATTCTAATTAAAATTTTAATTAAAAATTGAATTTTTAATATTTACATGTTAATAGATTAAATATTTATAAAATTAAATATTCAGTGCTTAATGTCAAAAGATTATATAAAATATATAAAATATTTTATTTGAACCGTATTGTATATTGATTGTATATTAGTATAAGAAATAATGTAATATACTGATAAAAGTAGTTTCAATAATAAGTCAAATGTATATATTATTTTTATCATTTATGTATATACCAGTAAATATAAATATCGTATATATTAAAAGTGTTTTTGAACGATATTTTTACAAAATAATAACTCTTAATAATTACTTGATTAAGTAATATTTTTTATTTCTTTATTTTTATTTTATTTATAAATCTCTATTAATATATTAATTTTGAAAAACTATACTATGATCTATTTAATCCTTCATAACATAATATCGTATACTCGTATATTATTCAATTCATAACATAATATCGTATGCTCATATATTATTCAATTCATAACATAATATCATATGCTCATATATTATGCAATTACACAATATTTATTTTAATTAAAATTTAAACATTTTGTATGTTATATAAAAAACATCTTACTTATCTAAAACTATCCTATATCTATTGAGGTGTATTCAAAATGTTTTTATTTAATTTTTAGAAAGATATACATTTATTTATAAAATTTAGATGTATCAAATAATAACAAATATTGTTAATTAATACTTTAAAAAAATTAATTGTATTTTTAATTAAGAAATTGATAATAAATTTAATATATATTAACGATTTCAATGAAATAGACTTCATATTAAAATGCTATATAAAAATTATTTTATATATTGTGTAATTAATGGTATCAGTTGATTTTTTTATATTTGTAATAGTTACTACATGAATCAGATAAGAAATTTTCTGTAAGAATCAATTGTATTTTGTATTTTATTATTAATATTTATAATTTAGTTTAAATTAATAAAAATGTTAATCTAATACGCGAGAATGTATAATATGTATAATGTGTTGTTATTTTATGGAATAAAAATAGGTAATTACGTTAATTATAAATTAATTTACATAGATTTAAAATTACAATATGCCTTTGGTCATATCGATAAATTATTCTAATTTTAGCGTAAATTTTGTAATGATCAAAGTTACAATTAGGAATAATAGGAAACTAAAATCTTAAGAAGTATAAGTTATTATTATGAAGTTCGTTAATTTTAGCAAAAGTAATAACAGTATAAAAATATTTAATGATTGCTGATTATAAAGCATATTTCTAACTATATTAAACTGCTGCAATAAATTAAAATGATAAAAGAAATTGGAATACGGCATAAATTTTAATTTTATAAATATAATAATAAATATAAACGAACTATTAAAAATTTAATTAAAAATGGGATCATATTAAATTATTGTTAACACTTGTGTTTTTTATTTTATTATAACGTGTAGTCGATTATATTTATCTAATAAAATTTATTTCCAAAAAAATTTCTTTTTGAACATTGATGTAAATTGTTTTATGAAAAACGAATGTTAATTTTATTTTAAAGTGGATAACAATATTTTCATTGATCAAATAGCAACAACTCTATCATTAAAACTATGTTGAAAGTCACAAAGTGAATTATTTCAATTATTAAAAATGATTTAATGTATTCTTTTAGATGTACACAACATTTATAATACATCTTGCATAGAAATAATGTTTTAACTTAGTAATTGCTACTATTACAATTTGAATTTAATTTTACATTTTTTAAAATAATTTTTAATTATTTGATCACTTTTATTAAATTTTAATTAATCACTTTAATAGGTACAACAGTCAATATTTAAATATAATCGAATTAGATGTTGGTGGAAAAGTTCATGGCCTTTAGTCTAATAATAAGGAAATATGACATATCCTCATTTTTAAAGTTCAAAGTTTGTTAGAAGCCGCAAACTTTATTTTTGTTACTAATTTAATAATTTAAATCTCGCTTTCGTATTTCTCAATAGTATCGATGTATCTGCATTATTTATTCGGCGATTTTCTTGTTTAACGGCATATCGAACCTTTTCAGCGTTACGGGATTAGTTTTATGATACGCTGATGGTTAACAGATTTTTTGCAATATTATGATCATCATCTGAGTCTAATGTATTGTACATAAATATACTTTCAGTTATTCGAAGAATTTTAACAGGTCTTTTTATTTATATATTCTTTGAAAATGTTAGTAAATAATTTTATTTTGATGTCTTAATTAAATACACAAATTTACCATGGAACTATAAATATTATTTACTTTATTTTTATCTAAGTTGTCTTACATTTAGAAAAAAATATTTTTAATTTTAAATTTGATAAGACAAGAACAAATATAAATCTGAATTGTGTACTGACACTTAATTGGATCTATTTAAATTTTATAAATTTCTGAATCTTTTTTTTTTATTAATAACCGTATTTATTAATATATTACCCTAAATTTTATATACTTTTTGGTAAAATATTTCATTGATATTTCATGTATTTTCAATACTTTCAATTTAGCGAGTTAAAACATTTTCATTTTGATATTTTGAGTCAAAGAGAAATTTCATGAATGAATTTTCAAATTGATGCACAGTAAAAGTCTCTAATTTTTATTTTACATAATTATTTGTGATTATTTTTACTCTCTTTTTTATATGTTTATAAATAATACAATATTTTATACAAATATTAGATAGCATATCTATTTATTTAAAACATGTATTATGACATTAATTTATTGTTAAATTTTATTATATATTATTTAAAATTAATGAAAATATATAACACCAAAAATGTTAAACATATGTTAAATTATTTTTTGTAGAAGATGAACATTTATTTAAGGTTTCAATTTTGTAAAAAGTTAATTATCAAATAAAATGAAAGAAAACAATTGAATATTTGAAAATAATATATTTCTAAATCTTTAATATATATGCAATGTTTATTTAATCAAGTTGAACACATTTTTATGAAATACATGTTTTTATTTCAGTTTAAGTTGCAATTTAAACAAAATTAAAATAAAATATTTATTTATAATTTCAGATAAATGAATATGCAGCAAGATTTCACAATTACATTATTTAAAAATGGTTGTCAGGTAGTTTAAGATTGTTGGATATCTATTCATAATCATAATACTTACAAGTTTACGATATCTTCGAAAATGTGAACATTGAAGAGCGGAATGAAGCCGCAGAAAAAGTCAATAATTGGCCGAAAGGCAACCAAAACATCGGTGGTTGCCAAAAAACGAAGTGCATCTCTTGAAAAGTCTGCTATACTGGAATTAAAAAAAGAAAAATGTTTTAAAAAGTTAACAAAACTGGGTGAGTCAAAAAAAAAAATTGTTTCGGAATTAAAGAAAAAGAAAGTAATAGTCGAGAAGAAAAAAGAAAAATTACCGAAAGTCGACGAACGGAAACAGAAAATTATTAAAGAATCCATAGAAAAACCTGAAAAAAAGTGTGACAGAATGATAGAAAAAAAAATCGAAGATAGAGAAGATATAGATTTAAATGATAGTTCGGATAAGAAAAAAATATATAAACCCGATGACAAAAGTAAAAATGACAAACAATACACTCAAGAAGCAAAAAAGCAATTTGATAAAATTGAGGAAAAAGATGAAAAAACCAAATCTCTAAACGGTATCGAAGAAAAAATCACTCTTGAAAATAAAATTGACGATAAAATATCAATGCTACCGGTTAAAAAAAGATTAAAGGAGGAGAATAAAAGAAGAGAAGCAAAATTAATGAAATTAGAATCTAAGGATAATTTAAAAATTATAACTGTCAAAGATATCAAAAAACCAGAACGTAAAAAATCTCCAGAACAAGAAACATTACAAAAATCATCTCCAATTAGGATTAAGAAGGAACTAAAGATGAAACAATCATCGAAAAAAAATTCACATAGAAAGACTGCCTTTGGTACGAAAAAACCCCATGTACCAATAGTTAAAAAATTATTCGATAAGAAATCGAAGCTAGTCAAATCTGCACAAGGAGCCGAGAATTTGTCGACTAGTTCATCATCATTGATGAATCTTGAGATAATAAAAGATTTAAAACAAGACAAGAAAAAGTCGGTATCATCAAAAGTCAAAGATATGTTAGCGAAGAAGTTTAATGATGAGAAATCTGTGAAAGCAACAATAAGGCTGTCACAAAAAAATACAAAAATGAATTTAATTGTAAAAAACGAGGATAAGGTAAAAAATGGAAATCTTGATAAAAATTCTATGAAAAAATCAGATTTCATCAAAGATTTAGATACAAATTTTAGCGAAATAAAGAAATCTCCAAAAGAGGAATCTTGCGTTGTACATACAGATAATATTAAGAAAGAAATTATCGATGAACAGGAAATAAATAAAATTAAAGAAGATTCTAAAAAAAGTTCAAAATTAAAAATTGCCAAAAAGATAATTAAAAAATCATTTAAAAATTCAAAAATTTCAAACGATACTGATACCGACAAAACTGAAATTACATCTGATGAGAACATAAAGCAACAATCAAAGACTATAGAAAATCAATCTAAAAATGCCGTTAATTCGACAAAGGAAGAGCAAGATTTGATAAAAGTGAATTTAAAAGTCGAAACTGTAAATGGCGAGAGTAGTGAAAGCGTATCTACTTCGGAATCAGAAGATGGTGACGAGGATTATGCTCGAAGAAGTAGATCTAAGACCTTTTCAAAAATCAAAGAACGTACCCCTTCTGAGGAACGAGTCATGACCAATCGAATGAAACTCTTTGGATTTTGGAGCGGACCGAAAAGACATAGAGTAGCTTCATTGAACGCATTAGCAAAAGTGCATTGTCTTTATGAGAATGAGAATGGAGGTGTTTATCTGGGAGGTTTCTGTAAGCCTAAGCCTGAAAAAGAGAAGGAAAAGGATAAGGAAAACAAGCCGAGAAAATGCAAGGAAGAAAAAGAAGATAAAATTCAGCAAAAGGATAAAAAATGCAATAAGAGTAAAGGTGAAGAGACATCTGCAAAGAGAAAGTTAAGAAATGTTCCTGGATTGCGTGGAAAACATTATGACGTGCTTGAGGGATTAACTTCTTCCTCTTCTTCCGATGAAGATATAGAAATGCGTCGAGAGAAGGAAAAAGAAAAAAAGAAAAAAGAAAAGGAAAAGGAAAGACTAGAACGGGTGAAGGAAAAAAAGTTAGAAGAAGAAAAAGAGAGAGAAAAGAAAAAAGGGGAAGAAGGGAACGAGATAGAGGTTGTTCCGATGAAAAAGCCAAAACAAAAACGAAGAAAAAAGAACACGGAAATTATGGACCTTAAAGATATGGTGGTTTGTAAACGTATGGCTAGTTTAAATGCTTCTGCTATTCTTGCCGCATCATATTCCGATGAAAAGAATCGTTTAGGTACTAGTAGTGAATCTTCTTCAAGTAGTGAATCAGATGTTGAATTTATTAAAAGACGACGTCAAAGTGATTCAGACATAGATAAGAGAAAGCAGCGTCAAGGCGGTTCAGATGCCGATGATTTGGTCAAACCTTCCAAGAAAGTAATGATAGTTAATCAGGACACTGATGTTACAATAACTGGTAGGTTTTTATTCAATATTGATATTTTATTATTTATAACAACTTTTTCTGTTGTTTATCAAAATTCTTAAATGAGTGGAATATTTCTATATGAATACTTAGAATACAAATTTTATCATTTATATTTAATTAATATCTGTAATTCAATCCTGAAATAATTTAAGATTTAAAAATTTTTTTTGAGGAACACATGCTTAAATTTTATTGTAAATATCTTATATGTACACATTGAAATACGTTTTTAATTTGTCACTATCAACGATTTTTGTATTTTTATATAAACGTAGTAAAAAATACAAATTTAATAGACTATAAAAATATTCCTAATTTAAACGAGAAAGCATGAAATAATTATTTGAAAAATTTATTTGAATATTAACTTTTTTTCTTAATATTATTTTTTCTTAATATTTTATATAAATTAAACTTTAAAAATGAATTAAATTGGACAATAAATAAAATAACATCTCTCATATAATAATAACAAATATATTTTATTAGATTTTTTATAAGTAAATTCAAAAGTGTCCAAATATTTCTTTTGAAATATTACAAACACCGTAAATTATATATTAATTTATTTGTTTCAGGTGTTTATGTAAATCAAACTCGATCTACTCATCATGAAGGATTCTGTAGTATTGCTGGAATGCAGTACAGAATATGTTCTACTAGCCACACACAAACTGCTGCAACAGCGGTTGCTACAGAGCTACACGATCAGGTATAATAATCGTTGAATTTCTCTTTTTTGTGAAATGAATTGTTCATATAGAAATGTATTATAAGAGTACATTAAAAAATATTTTCTATTTCTTTATATTTTTTCAATATTATGTAAAAAATAAAAATTTTAATAATGAATCATTGGATTCTAATATTTAAAATAATGTATTTATAAATTCCATTGATAAAAATGCTTTAAAATAATTCTCAAGGCCATATGAAATATCGATATTTTTTATGAAGATCAATATCGATTAAATATAAAATTAAAATTACGATTGTGATTAAGCTGAGATTTCAATATTTATGAATTTTTAAAAAATTTTCTGGATTTTATATTTATATTAGTGCAAATATTATGCTTTTAAAAATTGACGAATATTTAATATTCTTAAATATTCAATGTTTTCAATGTGTACGTATGTAAGTATCATTTTTAATTGGGTAAGTTAGATGTCATTTAATATTTTATAATTATGAGACATTACTTATAAACATTGATATCTTTTAATCAAATATTCCATTTTTATACAATTTTATTTTTATTACAAGTCTAACGTTGAATACTTGAAATATATGTTGGTTATATATGGAAGGCTAACTTTATTTTAACTTTATCAATAAACTAATAAATATAATAGTTGATTACATTTAGCACTCCGTATCTCGATATAAATAAATTAAAATTTGAATAAGTGATAACAAATTTGAAAATTCTAGAAGTACATTACTTGTTATTTATATGTTAAGAAATGAAAAAATGAAAAAATGAATTTTCTTTTCCTTAATGTTTTGTATATTTAAAATTAGTACTAAAATCATTAATGAAATATTTTAAAGATAATAAGATAAAAAATTTATAAATTTTCGTTGTTAATTTTGAAGGGAATTCAGCTTAAGCTATTGTTGTAGTATTTGAAGTGACAGATAACATGTTTCGATGTTTACATGTAGGTTCTTCTCCGGTACCAGTAAGGGAATATAACTTTTTTTGCAGAAGGAGCAACCGTGCAAATCTTACACTCCGCTTGGAGCGCTTTCGTCGATGCAACCACCTGGTTCACAAGGAAATCATTCGAATATGTCACCGCGAAGGCACTCTGCTTTCTCAGCACCACATCAACATGGTAAGTTAAATATGCTTTATTTTAAATATGTTTTTTTAAATATGATTAAATATAAATGACAATGATCTTAAATGGATGTACACTGTGAATATTGTAAAAATTATGGTATGAAGCTATCTGATTATTATCTTTCTTTTAATGGTAAATTATTTTCTTAAAACTAGAAACAATTATTGATAATAACATAAAATTCTAATATTTTATGTATAATATACGAATTAAAAAAATTAATAAAGTATATTTGTCGATGCAGTTTGTACGTATTTTCAAATATACATCATAATACGTATAAACAAAAAAAAAATAAAATAAAATATCCAGCTTTTATAATGTAACGAAGGTAAGTTTTCAAGAATTAAATCGAAAAATTAATATACATGCATAAACGGATTTTTTTATTTTAAATTTGAAACATGATTTCTATTTATAAAGAAATTATTCTAAATAAGACATTTTAAGTATGGACGTAGAAAGATAAAAGAGAACATTTTTCAATTTATTAATTTATTTATTAATACATCTGTGATAGAAGAGTGCGTTCTATAAACTTCTAGAATATGACTGCACATAAATATAAAAATAATAAAAATAAAATGTTTTATTTTTAATCAATATTATTTAAAATGTTAATTACATTTTTTAAAATGTACATTTGAAATTATCAAGTACATTCTTAAATCTACAATAAAATCTACAATAAAATGAAACATAATTTAGTTAAACATAATATAATCAAGTATCAAACATAATTTAATATTTGATTTATCAATATCAGTTATATCATAAAATAACTGTGATTCCTATAAAGTTACTTAATTTAATTGAAATATTAATATTTATATCTGTAAATTTTAATGAATATATATTAAATATAATTACTGTTACATAATTGCAATTATTACTATTCATTTAATATGAAGTTATAAAAATTTCATATATAAATAGTTTTTATATAAGTTGTTTTAATTATATAAAGGATAATAGTTTACAAGTTGTTATGGACTCTTTTTATTAAATTTAATATTTACTATTTTATATTAATATTTATGTACTAATTTAGAAAGGATTGGTTTATGAAACGCATACATAACTATAAAGAAAATATTGTTATATAATTTTTCATTTTTATTATTTATAATAAATATTATATAGCTAAAAATTTTGTTAGCGAATTTTGTAATATAATTCATATTTTATATAAATAGAGAACAAAATTTAAGATTTATTAAAAAATAATTTCTTACAAACTAATTTCTATCCTCATTAATTTATTTTGTATCATTTTTAAAACCTGTGAAAGATTTTTAAACTGAATTTATAATAATGCATTTTTAGTTTGTATTTATAATTATATTGTTTAAATATTGAAACTTATAATACGAGAATAATAAAATATATTATATAAAAATGCATTTTGAACGCTCTGAAGATTTTGAAATCACTATAGTTTATATAATAGTGTTTTTATTGAACTAAATAATAAGTTATATTTTTGGTACTTTGTTACTAATTTTTGTGTTACTTTGTTGGTACTTTCTTATTAATCCGTAATAAAATTAATACATAAAACTCGTGATAAAATAAAGATAATATAAAGTTTAACGAGAAATTATAACCTTTGTATGTAAATAATTTATGTAAATATGGCTAAACGCTTGAAAACAACAAAGATGTTAAAAATAAAAATAATCGGTATGCATGATTTAGATTCATGAACGTGAACATTAGAAATATCATAAATATTATAAAAGTATTAGAAGTAGTAGGAATATTATAAAATTTCAAAAAATTAAATCGATCTTTAATAATAAAACCGCGTGTTCGTGGTTCGAATTTTTTTTGTCCTTTTGATAGTGATCAGTGGAAATAGACAGAGAGCAAAATAAAAAATGTATTTATATACTTGAAATTTGTATCTATATTATTATTATTGATATAAATATAATATTTAAATAATTGATAATTTTGCATGTTAAATATAAATTGCCAAATTTTCCTGCAAGAAAATAGATACCAATATGTACTATATTTTTATAAACAATAGTATTACTACATTACATTTTCAAAACATATAATATAATTTTTTATATTAAATGTAATTCACAACTATGATTTGCACTAGATGAAATGTTCTGTATGAATTTCGTATTGAAATTGACACCCATTTCAGAGTTAATAAGGAATATACCTCCGTTACACGTGCTTCAAATTGATACACTCTTTACTTTCGTTCATTTCGTTGCTACAGTTTATCTCCTTTCCCCACTTATACTCTTTCTCTGTTATATATTTTTTTGGGAACGCATTCCTTCTCCCCATGTTTGAACGGCGTCGGCGCACTGTGGATAAATTACGAAGCGGTTCATCGGCACTGCAATCGCAACTACGCAGTGAACGTTTGTCCGTTGTCGTTTATTGTGTTCGAGACCGAGAACATTGTTTAAGCATCTGTTGTTCGTTGGACTTCTTTGGGAATCGCGAAAAAATCGCAATTGCGAGTCGCTATCCTCCAACCTTCAGGTACAAATGTTATCGGTTTTTCGATATTTATAAGTGCTCGGCATTAAGTTTGCGAAACCCGTTTGTGCTATTCTTACTTTCATCTGAATGCACACTGACATCACTTCTATTCTTTTTTTAAACGCAAGAGGTGTGCATTTTATGGACTCTACTTCTTTAATTTTCAACCGCATGCGTTTTGCAATAGGTACAAACAGGGTTTAAAGTGGAATAGTAGCTACTAATTATCTCTATACATAAATATATAGACTTTTACTAAGCATGTATGAGTTGTGTAATGAAAAAATATATTATATAAATATGGAAGAGGTCTCTAGAATAAACCTAAATATTGACCGGAAAATTTATGGACAACGGCAACCTTCTCGAAGCTTCCTTTTTTAGCCGTCATCGTCGACAGTAACAGCGACGGTATCTAAGTTAGCCCTGGCACATGTTTATTAATATTTAAATATATACACTCGGTATTTAGTGCAAAAAACGTAATCTATGGCATTTTTTAGATAAACGTCTTGATTTATGTTTTCTTACTAAGAGACAATAAAAAAATTTATTTAAATTAAAATGATTTTGATAAGATTTCATTTTAGTAATGCACTATATTATGTATATTGATATGTTAATCACTGTCTATTATATAAAATTTCCGTTATTAATTTAATAAAGTATAATATGCATTTAATACTAAAATTATACAAACACGTTTATCAAATACATGAACATTTTTAATTTATATAGAATAAGTTAATTTTAACATTATATTTGATATAATAAAGTACGTTAATAAAGTATTGTTTTTTGAACTTCAAGAGTTTGTTTTTGATTATGTATTCAGTTTGATAAGAACTGTAAATGAAATTTATAATAGTATTTTTATGTATATAATTACCCCTTTTTTAGTTTAAAAATGAACAATTTTTATATTAAAAAAAAAGAATTGATAAATTAAAACTGGGATTCATAACAGTTTATTTTTATATAAATATATCAATAACCGAAAATACTAATTGCAATTATAATTTAAAATAGAGATAGAAGAATGGAAGATGATGTAAAACGTCTTTCATTATATTATAATTAAATGCTTAATAATTTAATTTTTATTATGTCAACAATATTTTGAAAAGATTTCTTCAAAACTATCATATTTGTGCTTATAAATAAATTAAATCTTAAATATATTTCGATTTACTATTTTCCATGTATTTCTTATCAAAAACTTCCTTTTATTATTATTTTTTTTCTTTAGTTTGTAATAGTTTAAATGTCTTAATACTGCAATTAATTGTGTTTCATGACTATTACGCTTAATGTAAATAAGGAATTTTAATTTATTTTAATTTTGTTCAAATTTATCAATGAAATCACAATTGAAATCATATATCAATATCAATATACTTTTAAAATGTAGTTCTGTAAAATATTAAATAAAATGATATTAAGTAAAATGATTAATGATTAATGATTCTTTTTTTTAATGTTAAGATGTTATATGTTGTTAATAGTATATATCTAATTTGAAATGTAAATTTATTCTTCAGAAAATTAAATTGTTAATTTATAATTTATGAAACAAAGTAATTTATATTCTAGCTAGAATTTAAATTGAAACGGTATTTTATTGGAAAAAGCTTTACATGATACTACGATATGCATGACTAAATTATCGTAACATTAATTTAATTTAGTGTTGAAGTGAAATAGAGTGATATATTTGACTAAATCTTCCATAACAAATTCTGTAATTAAACCTTTTTAAACACTATAAATTAAGATTATTACATAAATTTATTAATCAAAATAGCAAATATCGAATTAAAATATATTTTATATAAATATAAATAATATGGTTTGTTAAGTTTTATATCTATTTATTGACACTTACGCTTAAGATTATTAAATAAAATAAGCTATAATTTATAGTTAAATATATCTTATTAGTTTTATAAAATTGTAAAATAATATTGATTTGTTTTAATAATATAATAACGTTATACTTAATGCGTTAATTTTCTTTAATACGATAGAACATTGATTTTCTTTTCTTCAACTTAGTTCTCTTAAAAGTATTGGTTTACTTATAAATGAGTATCTTAACGGAAAAACATTGCCTTTTTACTATACATTTATTCTATTAATATTTACGTATGAATATTTGAAGGAATTAGAACAAATTGCGTTTACAGATTGAAAGATAGTTGAAATTCAACCTTAATTGTTTTGTTCAGTTTTCAAATGTATATTGTGTTATTTATTGAGTATTATAAATATTTTATTTAATTCCTCAATCATAATAAGATAAAAGTAAAAGTAAGGTAGTAGTATTATGTATATGAAATTGCGTATCATCAATGTATAAATGAGATAAATGTCTATGATATGAGTGGAATAGAATTTTTTATTTGATTCAGTTCTACTATACAAATGGCTGAATATACATTGTTAAATAGTTTTTAAAACAGTAGAGAGTCTATTTCATT